GCTGAAGCCAGGGGCCTTTCCCGGGGGCAGAAGCGGCCGTAGAGCGCCCCCCACCCCTCCGCACAGCCGCGGCTCCCCCGGGGGTCGAGGGCCAGAGGTCACGGACACGCGGCCGGCAGCGGGCCTCACCTGCCCGGCAGTCCACGCTCTGCTCCTTCAGCTCTGGGAAGAAGCTCAGGAAGGAGTCCAACAGGTCCTGGGCGACCACGCTGGTGAACTTGTACTTCTCCACGTAGGCCTGCGCGGGTCGGGGCGTCAGCAGGCCCGGGGGCTGGGCACACCGCCCCACACCAGAGCGGCACCCACGGGGCCACGTGGGCCTTGCCGGGCGGCTGAAACCCCGGGAGGGAGCTAGAGGGAGCAGGCGGTGCCGCGCACTGCTGCTCTCAGGGTGCCCGACTCCCCGCCACGCCACCTCCGGCGGGGGGCGCTCAGGGTGGGCGGAGGGCAGGGCCTGCCCCGGGGAGAGGGGTGCTCACTCGGAGAAAGTCGTCAAAGCGCTGGGGGTCTCCGCAGAGCTGGGACAGGTAGTACACGAAGCAGTAGCCCTTCTCGTAAGTAAACAGGTTCATCAGGTGGCTGGGATTCACCCCTGCAAGGGGGACACGGCTCTGGGCGGCGCCCCTGCCCTCCCGGGCCCGGGGGGGGGGTCCTCACATATCCCGGAGGCCCAGGGGGTGCCCGCACATCGTGGTGGCCGGCGCTCAGAGCCCGTGGGAGGCAGGGGCAGGCTGGGGGAGCCCCAGGGAGGCCTTCTGAGGGCTGGGGGCACCCGGCGCTGCCGTGATCCAGACAGGGGCAGCGAGGGGCGGAGGGGAGGTCCCGCGGGGCGACGTCTGCAGGGCCCAGGGCGGGGCCCGGCGGGAGTGGGTACCTGGCTCCAGCTTGACCTGCAGCTTGCTCACTGGGCTGTCCTCTCCGAGGAGCTTCATCTGCCTGTGTAGGGCATCCAGGCGGAAGGCCGTCTCCAGACAGGTGAAGGCAGCCCCTGGACAGGGGCGGGGCGACGGGGGCGGGAGGGGGCAGGGGCGGCCTGAGCGCCGGGCAGATTCGAGGCTGCCCGCCCGGCCGCCCCCTGCCTGAGCCCTGCGGCGCTGACCCAAGGCCGTCCTGCTGGACACACGCGTGGCAGGGGACCCCACCCCGGGCACAGGCTGGGCTCTTGGCCCCTTGGTGGCGCCGCCCGCCCCGTCCGCCCCAGGCCGGCTGCGGGCAGTACCGTAGGTCTCAGTGGTAATACGGCGCTGGGCGTAGGTGGCCAGGCCCTCGCTCAACCACATCTCCTCCCACGTGGCGTTGGTGACGGCGTTGCCGAACCAGCTGTGGGCCACCTCGTGGATGACGTCGATGACCAGGAACTCGTCGCTCTCCAGGATAGAGGAGATGATGAAGGTGAGGCAGGGGTTCTCCATGGCCACGATGGGGAAGGAGGGGGGCAGGAAGACGATGTCGTACCTGCCCGGGGCGCGAGAGCGGGCAGGTGACCGTGAGAGGCGGCCCCAGGTCCTCGGGAGGCTGGGAGTTGTCCTCTGAGCCCCGTGCGGCCAGCCCGGCTCCCGGTGCCCCAGGACCTACCTGCCCCACATGTAGGGCCCGTACAGCCGCTCCGCCGCGCTCAGCCACTGCTCCACCGCACCCGCCAGCTTGCTGGTAGCCGTGGGCAGGAGGCACGGCTCGGCCCACACGCGGCTCCTAGCACGGGCGGAGACGGTGGGCAGAGGCCGACGGGCCCCCGCCCCGCACACCAGCGGGCCCCCCCTCCGCGTCTGCCCCCAACGCCGCCCGCAGCTCGGGAAGCGCCCAGCCTGCCGCCCGCTGGCCCACCTCCCTCGAGCGCACACCCTTCCCACGGCCACGGCCAAGCCCCAGGCTGAGGGGTTCCTCCTGTCGCCAAGTTGAGAAAATGCACGCGAGCCTGCAGGTGCCTGGGGCTGTGGCGTGGCCCCCGCAGGAGGTCGAGGGCCCCAGCTTCTGGTCTAGGGGTGGGTGGGGTGCGAGGAGCCCAGCAGGGATGGCCTGGGGGACGGGCAGGGCCGGTCCCCGCGGTGTGGGGGTCCCCACAGGCCTCACGCCCAGCCCGTGGTGGGACTTCCCCAGGGCTGGGGCCGCGGGCAGCAGTGGCCACAGGGAGCGAGGGGCAGTGGCCCTACCTAGGCCCGATGTCTGCCGGCTGCAGGTCCCCGGCCACGAGGGCCACGAGGTAGGCGGGCACAGGGTGTTCCATGTGGAAGCGGTAGACGCCCTCCTCCTCCACGTAGCTGCTCTGCGTGGCGCTCATCAGCACCTGCACCCCCGACGGCGCCTGCGTGGCAGGAGGCCCACCCGTCAGGGCAGCCGCATCCTTTATGGGGAACCCCACGCTCTGACCCCCACAGCTCAGGTCAGGGCACCCCACATCCCCCATCAGGGCACCCCACGTCCATGACGGGAAATCCCGACCTGCTGTCGGGGTGACCCGTCTTCCGTGGCAACTCCGCGGAAGGGAGCCCACGACCTGGGCCCGGGAGCCACATCCCTGGCAGGCCGCCCCCCGCCCCCGCCCTGCACGGGGCTCCCTTCGGAGGAGGCAGGCCGGCCCGGCGCACGCTGACCTTGACGACGGCAGAGTAGGTGCACTTGACCGCGGGCGTGTCGAAGCAGGGGAAGAAGGAGCGGTTGCACACTGAGTGGCCCTGGGTGAAGACGAAGGGCTTGGCGTTGCCGTAGGTCAGCTCGGGGTCCAGCCACCAGATCTGCGGGGGCGGTGGGCAGGGCCGGTCAGCAGCCAGCGCCGGGGGTCGGGCCTGCCCATCCCCATCGCAGCGGGGCCGTGGCCCCTCTCCCCGGCGCGGCACAGAGAGCGGCACGTGGGGACGCCAGGACCCCCTGCCACCCATGCCTTGCTTCAGGAAGCTGCACAGGTTTCCTGGAGAGAGCAGGGCCTTAGCAGCGGCCCCAAACCTGTGGTCCCTGGAGCAAACTGGATTGTTCCTTGTCCACTTCAGCGACCCAGTACACAAGGGTCCTCCCAGGGCCGTGGCGGAAGGATGCCCCTGCCCCGGCCAGCCTCCGCCAGGGACGGGTCCGTGGAGTCCACGGCTGCTGGCCACGGGCAGCGGCTCATGCCAAGATCACAGGCGTGGTGGGCGCCACACCCGGGGGCTCCTTCCATGCCAAGACCACAGGCCCCAGACCCCCGTGGATTCCCGGGCCTGGCAGGGCGACCCGTCCGGTTCCGGCCAGACTCCTGCCAGGGTTCACAGGCTTCTTTAAAACTTCCTCTGGCTCAAGGTCTCCATCCCCTCACTATGGGAAGCCTGCAGGGGGATGGTCTTTCTCCGCTGACCTCCCGGCTGCCCCCGATGTGCAGAAGGCCCGCCCGGGGAGCCCGTTCAAAACTGCAGCCTCGTGGGCCCCACCCCAGAGCTTCCCGGGGCACGGCCCAGGAGTCTGCATTAAGGAGCCTCTGCAGTGGGTCCTTGGTCCACACTGGGGACAGGTCCCCGCAGTCCCCAGACCCTGTCAACCTCACGTTCCCCTCTCACACCTGCTCCCCGACTCCTCCCTTCCCTGGGGCCCTCCCCAGGCTGCGCCCAGCTCAGGCCTCCTGTTCCCACCACCCTTGTCCACCTCTCAGCCTGGCCAGCACTGGTCTGTCTGCCTGCCCTTTGCCTAGCAGAGACCAGTGGGGTCCCCAGTCCTCCCTGGGGCACAGTAGCTGGGGGGCTAGTGGAGGATGCCATGGACTCCAGACGCCGCAGAAGAAATCTGTTCTTGCTGGGGTCGGGTTGGGGCGGGGGGATTCAGGAATGGGATGCAAGAGACATCCCAGAGTCTGCAGCACCCCAGACTGCCCGTGGAGGTGTGGGGACCCATGCCCAGGCAGCTGCACCCTCGCCTGGCACACAAGCAGGCTTAGGGATCTAGGCCTGAGTTCTAGACAAGCCACGGAGAGGACAGGACTCCATGCACCAGCCCTGAGCTCTGTGGTGTTCATGCGTGATGGTGGTTGCTCGGGGTCAGACGCCAAACCGTCTGTCATCTGCAAGTGCTCCAGCTGCACTATCCGTGGGGACCATGACACCCCTCCCTGCTCCAGCCACCCAGGTCATAGAAGGCCCAGGGACAGTGGCCGCTTTTGCCGGCCTCACCCTCTATCCCCAGCAGCCTGCGGGGGGGGGGGGTCCTGGCCCCACCATCCCACCGGTCGTGGACTTGAGTGGACGAGACGCAAGGGCTCCAAGCTCACAGATGGAGGCCAGGGAGAAGCACATCTCTTTGTTCTCGCCGCCGTGCTGGGAGGCATATATGCCACCTGTCAGAGCCCCAGGTGACCTGAGCAGGAGGCAGGGGCCAACCCAGCAGGCCGGCAGGCAGCACACCCGTGGGAGCTCGGGCTAGGAAGTGAGGCGGCGGGGGGGGGGGGGGGGCTGCCGAGGGTTCCTGGGGATCGGGCAGGAAGCACGGACACGGGTGTGTGTCTGGTCTGGGCTCTTCCCACCTTGGTCGATGACCTGGCCCGATGCCACCTACACCCCCCTGTCACGTGCATGCTCGGGGCAGTGACAGCTGGAACCTCCCAGGGCCTCCCAGAGCGGGGGAGAGTCGTGTCACTTGTGTGTGGTCCCCATGGGAACCCGGGGAACCCCAGGCTGCAGAGATGAAAGGCCCTGCTGCATCCTCAAGGCCTCACCACGCCGCCTGACCTGAGCCACCTGGGCTTTCCGGGAGAGCCTGCTGGAATTCGGGGGCACCTGCCAGTCCTCACCCGGGGGCGGGGGGGCCCTCTCTGGCTCTGGCCCGAGTCCCCTGAAGAGCTGGGCCACACGCGGGCGTCCGCCCCGGCACCACCCAGCGGCCTGCCCCAGCGCCAGGTGCAGCCGCGGGGAAGCCCTGAACGGCTGGGGGAGGAGCCTCCGCCCCCCCTCCCCCCGGGCCGGCACCAGGACGCGCACCCGCCGGGACTCCGGGGCGGGGGGGGGTCCTCTCCGCAGGCGCCCCCCCCCCAGCGGCCCCGCGGACTCACGGCGGGGGCGTCGGTCGAGGTGTAGCGCAGGATGACCTGGAAGGGCTGGTGCGCCTGCAGCTCGGGCGGCAGCGTGACGGTGAGCGACGAGCCGTAGTCGGTGAACGGGTCCACGCGGAAGGCCAGCGGGCGGCAGGCGGGCTCGGCGCCCGGCGCCTCGGGGAAGGCGGGCAGCGGGGGCGGCGGCGCGGGCCCGGGCCCCGCGGCGGCGGCGAAGGCGAAGGCGCAGGGCGGCTCGGCGGCGGCGGCGGCGGGGGCGCGGCGGAAGGCGGCCGAGTGCAGGCGCAGGGCCGGGTGCGCGTCGAGCACGAGCGCGCGGGGCGCGGGCCGCAGCGCGCACAGCTCGAGCACCAGGCAGCCCGCCAGCTCGCGCGCCTCGGGCCGCAGCTCCAGGCCCAGCTGCAGGTGGCGGAGGCGGAAGAGCTGCGCGCTGGAGGCCGAGGCCACGTCCAGGGCGGGCGGCGGCTCGGGCGGCGGGCGGGCGGGCGCGGCCTCGGCCCCGGGCGCCTTGCAGCAGCAGCACTGCGCCGCCATGGCCGCCGCGCTAGGTGAAATCCATGGGCGGCGGCCGCGCCGGGCCGCGGGGAGCGGGCGAGGGGCGCCGGGCGCCGGGCGGCGGCGGCGGCGGCGGCGGCGGCGGGGCGCGGGCACAACAGGAAGTCGCGCCGGGAGCCGCCCGGCCCGGCCCCGTGCCGCGCACCGCCCCGCTCGGGCTCCGCTCGGCCGCCGCCGGGGGCGCTGTGCGCGGGGCCGGGCCGGGAGCCGGGGCCGCCGCGCTCGGGAGCGGGGCCGCGGGGCGCGGGGCGCGGGCGCGGGGGGCGGCGGCGAGGGAGCCCGAGCCGGGCAGCTGAGGGTCCGGCGCTCCACGAGGGGCCGCGGGCCGGGGGCTGTGCGCACGGGGCGCGGGGGCGGTGGCGAAGGATCCGTGCGCGGGGCAGCCGAGGTCCGGGCGCTCCACGAGGGGCCGGGGGCCGGGGCCGGGGGCTGTGCGCACGGGGGCGCGGGGGTCGGCGGCGAGGGAGCCGTGCGCGGGGGTCCGAGGGCGCGGGGCGCGGAGAAGGAGCCCCAGCCGGGCAGCCAAAGTCCAGGCGCTCCACGAGGGGCCGGGGGCCGGGGGGCTGTGCGCACGGGGCGCGGGGGTCGGCGGCGAGGGAGCCGTGCGCGGGGGTCCGAGGGCGCGGGGCGCGGAGAAGGAGCCCCAGCCGGGCAGCCAAAGTCCAGGCGCTCCACGAGGGGCCGGGGGCCGGGGGCTGTGCTCACGGGAGCGGGTGCGCGAGCTGGCGAAGGAGCCATGCGCGGGGGACCGGGGCGCGGGGGGCGGCGGCGAGGGAGCCCGAGCCGGGCAGCTGAGAGTCCGGGCGCTCCACGAGAGGCCGCGGGCCGGGGGGCTGTGCGCACGGGGGCGCGGGGGGCGGTGGCGAAGGATCCGTGCGCGGGGCAGCCGAGGTCCGGGCGCTCCACGAGGGGCCGGGGGCCGGGGGCCGGGGGCTGTGCGCACGGGGGCGCGGGGGTCGGCGGCGAGGGAGCCGTGCGCGGGGGTCCGAGGGCGCGGGGCGCGGAGAAGGAGCCCAGCCGGGCAGCCAAAGTCCAGGCGCTCCACGAGGGGCCGGGGGCCGGGGGGCTGTGCGCACGGGGGCGCGGGGGTCGGCGGCGAGGGAGCCGTGCGCGGGGGTCCGAGGGCGCGGGGCGCGGAGAAGGAGCCCCAGCCGGGCAGCCAAAGTCCAGGCGCTCCACGAGGGGCCGGGGGCCGGGGGGCTGTGCTCACGGGAGCGGGTGCGCGAGCTGGCGAAGGAGCCATGCGCGGGGGACCGGGGCGCGGGGGGCGGCGGCGAGGGAGCCCGAGCCGGGCAGCTGAGAGTCCGGGCGCTCCACGAGAGGCCGCGGGCCGGGGGCTGTGCGCACGGGGGCGCGGGGGGCGGTGGCGAAGGATCCGTGCGCGGGGCAGCCGAGGTCCGGGCGCTCCACGAGGGGCCGGGGGCCGGGGGCCGGGGGCTGTGCGCACGGGGGCGCGGGGGTCGGCGGCGAGGGAGCCGTGCGCGGGGGTCCGAGGGCGCGGGGCGCGGAGAAGGAGCCCCAGCCGGGCAGCCAAAGTCCAGGCGCTCCACGAGGGGCCGGGGGCCGGGGGCTGTGCGCACGGGGCGCGGGGGTCGGCGGCGAGGGAGCCGTGCGCGGGGGTCCGAGGGCGCGGGGCGCGGAGAAGGAGCCCCAGCCGGGCAGCCAAAGTCCAGGCGCTCCACGAGGGGCCGGGGGCCGGGGGGCTGTGCTCACGGGAGCGGGTGCGCGAGCTGGCGAAGGAGCCATGCGCGGGGGACCGGGGGCGCGGGGGCGGCGGCGAGGGAGCCCGAGCCGGGCAGCTGAGGGTCCGGGCGCTCCACGAGGGGCCGTGGGCCGGGGGGCTGTGCGCACGGGGGCGGGGGGCGGCGGCGAGGGAGCCGTGCGCGGGGGTCCGAGGGCGCGGGCGCGGTGAGGAAGGAGCCCGAGCCGGGCAGCCTAAGTCCAGGCGCTCCACGAGGGGCCGGGGGCCGGGGGGCTGTGCGCACGGGGGCGCGGGGGGCGGTGGAGAAGGATCCGTGCGCGGGGGGACCGGGGGCGCGGGGCGCTCCATGAGGGGCCGGCGGAGCTGTGCGCACGGGAGCGGGGCGCAGGGCGCCGGGGGCGGTGGCGAAGGAGCTGATGTGACCTCCAGGTGTCTCTGAACCTGGCCCAGCTGTCGCCCGTGCACCTGTTCCCCAGAGCCAGCTCGGCCCGTGGGGGTGTCCCATCACAGCTGCTGTGGCATGCTGCGCAAACGCGTGGACCCAGGGCCTGCAAATGGCTCAGCTCCAAGCCACCGCAGCCTCGCCTGCCGAGTGCAGACAGCGGCACAGCTTCCACACGGGAAAGGGGTGATGGCAAGGTGACTGAGCCCGAGGGGCGTGGGGAGAGCAGACAGGCCCTGCACAAACATGAGGGTTGGCTTGGCTGCAGCGAGCTGCAGGCGGGTCAGCCAGGGGCACGTGGGCCTGGGAGCTGCGGTCTGGTGATGCTGCGGGGGGCTGGGTGCCCACCTACAAGGTGTGGTACATGCTTGCAGCCAGGGGCAGCGGAGGGTGTCATGCCTGTCACAGAACCCAGGTGCAGGTGTAACGCGTGGGCAAGGGGCCCTTTCACGACCATCCTGGTGCCTCACTCACAAAGTGTGAGCTTCCCGTCCCCACAACTTGGGCTCCGCTGGATCAGAGTTTTGTTTTGTTTCAAAAGTTTTATTTATTTATTCATGAGAAGCATAGAGAGAGGCAGAGATCCAGGCAGAGGGAGAAGCAGGCCCCATGCAGGGAGCCCGAAGTGGGACTCGATCCCAGGACCCTGGGGTCACGCCCTGGGATGAGGGTGGATGCTCAACCGCTGAGCCACCCAGGGGCTGGCCACTGGATCAGAGGTTTGGTTCCCAGGTAAGATGCTTCTACCAGGGACACGCGTGTTCCCCTGGACGGCAGGCTGAGACACCCTGACCATGTTGGGCCCCTCGGGCCGCTAAGGCAACAGGCAAGTCGGGGGCTGCTGTGCTGGGTGCAGTGAGTGATCCTGACTTTCAAGGAGCCCCGGGGCGTGGCTGCCGCTCAGTGGGGCTGAGAGGAGGTGGAGGAGCTGGAGGCCACAGCCCCAGTGCATGCAGGGCTGCTCAGGGCCCTTCAGGAGGCGGCTCAGGTCACCTCACCAGGAAAGGCCAGGCTCAGCAAGGTGCTGGCTGGAAAGAACGGGAAATATTAAGCACTAATTATGATATTTTATTAATTGCCTTGTTATGTATAGAGTAGTACCTATTAACCAGGGGCTGTACTACCTGTAATTCACAGTATAACCCAGTTTCTCTTTTTTCCCTTCCTGCTACCTGGTTTAAGGGGTGTTGATGGTGATGAATCTAGTACAGTCTCTAGGCCGTAGGACGCAGGGGAGGGGTGTCTGGACCAGGAGAGGAATCAACACGCTCAGACATACAGGGGCCGGTGCATCTCTGACATGACCGGGGCTGCAGGATGTTAAGCCGGGGTGGGTGCTGTTGTTGAGACTGGGAGGGCAGCAAGGCACAGGCGTGGAGAGCCCCAAGGGCACCCATGCCAGGCTGGCATGAGGCAGCCTCACATCCTGGCCTGTGTGTTGCAGAGTTACAAGTCTGGGTCCCAGGCCCGACTCTGAGAAGGGACCACTGTGAGGTTTGGGGAAAGCCCGATGGCTGGAGCAGGAGGCAGGCAGCCAGGATGGGGCAGGGTGGGTCTCCGGGACGTCCCCATCTCCTGGCTCCCTGGCCTTGCTCTCCGGATTGAATACTTTCCTGCCTAAAAGTCCTCAAGTGGTTTTGATTTTCCTGACCAAGGCCTGTCTGGTAAACCTGACCGGGAAGGGATGCTTCCAGTGCCCTCGGGGGACACACCCCTGCAGTCCGTCCATGGAGACAGAAACACTCGAGCTGCATGTCCGGAAGAAGCAGAAAATGAAAACTGCAACAGTAAAGAAAGATAAAACCCCGCCAGTCAGCGCGGCAACTACCTCCAGCTCCATGCGCCCTGCTCGGGGCGGGGTCCTCCCCGGGGGTGAAGGTCTAGGGCTCACTCTGGGGCTCATCTCCGGTTCCGGAGCCCTGTCCCGAGGGCTCCCCGGTCGGCGACGGCTGGGGCAGGGACTGCAGGGTCGCCTCGTACTGCTGCAGCTGAGACCAGAAACCCGGGTTGGGCTCGGCCACCGGACGGGCGCTCTTCACCGCCTGCGTACAGAGGCGGAGGCTGAACGCGGCGCCGCAGGGTGCTCCCTCCGCGCCGCTAACGGCAGCCCACCCGGGAGGCCCGGCCTTCACCCCCACCCCGACCCCGCTCTGGAGGCCAGGCCCACCTGGGAGATCCTAACACCCGGAGGCGCCTCCACCCGGGGACCCGCCCCTCCTGAGGAGCCCGTACCCCCTCCCCGGGAGGCCAGGCCCACCTGCAGATCCCAACACCCGGAGGCTCCCCCACCCAGGGACCCGGCCCTCCTGCGGAGCCCCTCCCCGCCCCCCCCAGGCCAGGCCCACCTGCAGCCCCTGACACCCGGAGGTCCTCCACCCGGGCACCCGGCGCACCTGCGGAGCCCCTCCCCGCCCCCCCAGGCCAGGCCCACCTGCAGCCCCTGACACCCGGAGGTCCTCCACCCGGGCACCCGGCGCACCTGCGGAGCCCCTCCCCGCCCCCCCAGGCCAGGCCCACCTGCAGCCCCTGACACCCGGAGGCCCCCCACCCAGGCACCCGGCGCACCTGCGGAGCCCCTCCCCCCCCCCCGGAGGCCAGGCCCACCTGCAGCCCCTGACACCCGGAGGCCCCCCACCCAGGCACCCGGCGCACCTGCGGAGCCCCTCCCCCACCCCCCCCCGGAGGCCAGGCCCACCTGCAGCCCCCGACACCCCGAGGCCCCCCACCCGGGCACCCGGCGCACCTGCGGAGCCCCTCCCCGCCCCCTCCCCCTGAGGCCAGGCCCACCTGCAGATCCTGACACCTGGAGGCTCCTCCCACCCGGGGACCCGGCCCACTTGGGGATCCCGTCCCCTGCCCCTCCCCGGGAGGCCAGGCCCACCTGCAGCCCCTGACACCCGGAGGCCCCCACCCAGGCACCCGGCGCACCTGCGGAGCCCCTCCCCCACCCCCACAGGCCAGGCCCACCTGCAGCCCCTGACACCCGGAGGTCCCCCACCCGGGCACCCGGCGCACCTGCGGAGCCCCTCCCCGCCCCCCCAGGCCAGGCCCACCTGCAGCCCCTGACACCCGGAGGCCCCCCACCCAGGCACCCGGCGCACCTGCGGAGCCCCTCCCCCCCCCGGAGGCCAGGCCCACCTGCAGCCCCTGACACCCGGAGGCCCCCCACCCAGGCACCCGGCGCACCTGCGGAGCCCCTCCCCCCCCCCCCCCCCCCCCCCCCCCCGGAGGCCAGGCCCACCTGCAGCCCCTGACACCCGGAGGCCCCCCACCCAGGCACCCGGCGCACCTGCGGAGCCCCTCCCCCCCCCCCCCCCCCGGAGGCCAGGCCCACCTGCAGCCCCTGACACCCGGAGGCCCCCCACCCAGGCACCCGGCGCACCTGCGGAGCCCCTCCCCCACCCCCCCCCGGAGGCCAGGCCCACCTGCAGCCCCCGACACCCCGAGGCCCCCCACCCGGGCACCCGGCGCACCTGCGGAGCCCCTCCCCGCCCCCTCCCCCTGAGGCCAGGCCCACCTGCAGATCCTGACACCTGGAGGCTCCTCCCACCCGGGGACCCGGCCCACTTGGGGATCCCGTCCCCTGCCCCTCCCCGGGAGGCCAGGCCCACCTGCAGCCCCTGACACCCGGAGGCCCCCCACCCAGGCACCCGGCGCACCTGCGGAGCCCCTCCCCCACCCCCACCCCCACAGGCCAGGCCCACCTGCAGCCCCTGACACCCGGAGGTCCCCCACCCGGGCACCCGGCGCACCTGCGGAGCCCCTCCCCGCCCCCCCAGGCCAGGCCCACCTGCAGCCCCTGACACCCGGAGGCCCCCCACCCAGGCACCCGGCGCACCTGCGGAGCCCCTCCCCCCCCCCGGAGGCCAGGCCCACCTGCAGCCCCTGACACCCGGAGGCCCCCCACCCAGGCACCCGGCGCACCTGCGGAGCCCCTCCCCCCCCCCCCCCCCCGAGGCCAGGCCCACCTGCAGCCCCTGACACCCGGAGGCCCCCCACCCAGGCACCCGGCGCACCTGCGGAGCCCCTCCCCCACCCCACCCCGGAGGCCAGGCCCACCTGCAGCCCCCGACACCCCGAGGCGCCCCACCCGGGCACCCGGCGCGGCGCACCGCACCTGGAAGGCCCGCGCCAGGCTGAGGCCGCGGTGCCGCATGAGGTAGGCGGTGCAGACGGCGGCCGAGCGGCTGCGGCCGTTCTTGCAGTAGACCAGGCAGGCGCCGCCCGCGCGCACCGCGGCCTCCATGGCGGCGCAGGTGGGCTCCAGGTGCGCCAGCAGGTCCTCGGCCGGGTCGTCGAACACGGGCACGCGCAGCTCGGCCACGCCGGGCGCGGCCGGGCCGGGCTGCTGGCGCGAGACGTTGACGCACAGGGTGACCCCCGCGCGCGCCAGCAGGGCCGGGGAGGCCGCGGCGCGCGCGCTCCCCAGGAAGAGGGACGGGGCGACGCGCGCGAACGGCGGCGGCGCGGGCGAGGCGGCCCCGGGGAGGTCGCGGCCGGCGGGTCCCGGGCGCATGCTGGGCGGCCCGCCGGGCACCCCGGGTCCTAAGGGCCGAGGGGCCCTCCGATTGGCCGGCCGGGCGGCGCTCGCCCTCCGATTGGCCGGGGCGGGCGGGCGGCCCGGGGCACGCGGAGGTCGCGGAGCTGCCCGGCCGCGGGGGGGGGGGGGGGGGGGCTGCCGGCTGCGGTGCGCGGCCCTGCGCCTGCGCCAGAGGGGCGGGAGGGGGCGCGCGGGGTGCCCCGCGGCCGGGCTTTGGGGGGTCCCCGGGCCCGAGGAGCTACTCGTAATTGCGCTGACGCTTCCGTCCGTTCCTTAACCTGCTTGCTAATAGGCTGCCCCGCGTCATTGCCACAGCCCCCCCCCCCCTTTTACTGCAAGACACGGTTCATATGAAATAGAGCCATTGGCTGTTGAGTTTTCATCATTTCCTCATAGGCCAGTATTTTTGTTATTTTTCTTAAGTTGTGGTTCATCACTGTAACTTTAAAAAACTCACAGCCTTTAGGGGTTCCCCGGGTGGCTCAGGTCATGGTCTCGGGGTCCTGGGGTCAAGCCCCGAGTTGGAATCCGTGCTCAGCAGGGAGTCTGCTTCTCCCTCCCCTCCTCGCTGGTGCTTTCCTTCTCTCGAAGATAAAATCTTAAAACAACAACAACAACAACCCGCAAAACACCATTATTATTTAATGTGCATATAGTTGCCACGTAAGACTTCAGGAGGTTTTTCTGACGACCGGCGTCATTCAAGGATGTCTTTCCAGGATGCGTTTGGGTGAAAAGTAGCTATCTTGCAGTCCCCTCTACAATGATGCTGCAGTTTCAGTTTTCTTCTAATAATATTCTAATAAAAGTTTTTTTTTCTGATTCATCTATAACAAAGCATTACAAACTGGCTTAACACAACAGGGCTTTATTTTTCCCCGTGTGTTTGGGGTCTCCAAATCTCCCTTTTCTTATAAAGACACTAATCATTTAGTTTAAGGCACATCCTAATCCATGACCTCTTGATTATTTGCAAAGACTTTATTTCCATATAAGGTCATTCATAGGTACCAGGGATTAGGATTTAATGTTTTTGGAGGATGCCATTCAACCTACCACAGATGGTATGGTTCACTAAGTTTGTAGGATATTTTGAAGTTGACCATTTTTCTTTCTCTTTTCATAGGAAAGGAATTCTATTTCTTTTTTTTTTAAGATTTATTTATTTATGATAGACATAAAGAGAGACAGAGGCAGAGACACAGGCAGAGGGAGAAGCAGGCCCCATGCCTGGAGCCTGATGCGGGACTTGATCCTGGGACCCCAGGATCGCGCCCTGGGCCAAAGGTAGGCACTAAACCACTGAGCCATCCAGGGATCCCCGATTTTTAAAGATTTTATTTATTTGTTTTAGAGACAGAAGGGAGGGGCAGAGAGAGAAGGAGAAGCCGACGGTGCGCAGAGCCCCATGTAGGGCTGGATCCCATGATCCTGAGACCTTGACCTGAGCCTGAGCCCAAATCAAGACCCAGACCCTTCACCGGTTGAGCCACCCAGGCCCCCCCTCAAAGGAATTTTAAAGCCAATTTAGTATGTACTTCAGTTCCTAAGCTGCAGGGCAGAGAGATGGGACCTGAGCTGGAAGGTAAAAGGTCGAGAGAGAGGGGGATCCAGGAACCAAGGTGGGGGTGAAGGGAGACGAGAGGTGAGCTGGGAGGTAGAGGGCTGGAGGGAGCACCCCAGAACCCTAGCCACTGGGGAGGGGCCTGGGCCTGGTTGAGGGGCAGCCCAGGCCCTGCGCCTGCACAGAGCCCCCCTCTGCGTTGCAGAACCCGCCAGGCCCCCGCGCGTCCTCGTCCCCCTCCCTGCCCCGCGCTCCTGCTGGAGAGCTCCTGCGCATCCTGCGAAACCCCATCCTCAGGACTCCTCCGTCCAGGCTTCCGTAGCGACGCCTGGGTCCACACGGCCTCTGGGTCGCCTCCAGGAGCTCCCGTTCCGTGCCTCGCACAAACTGGAACGGAACCCGCACAACCCGGCTTTGGAGACCCGCGGGGCTCGGGGGATCTCGGTGGACACGTTGGCCCGCGGCGCCTCGGCGGCCCGGGGGCGGGGCCGGGGCAGTGGGCGGGGCGTAGGCGTGTCGGGGCGGGGGCCTTGTGGGCGGGGCGCCGGGAGTGGGCGGGGCGTGGGCGTGTCGGGGGCCAGCGTGGGCGGGGCGCCGGGAGTGGGCGGGCCCGGAGTGGGCGGGGATTGGAGGAGGCCCAGAGCCGCAGCGGTCACGTGAGCGGGGGCCGGTCTCCAGGGAAACCCGACGCTCTGGGCCCCCGCGCTGCGCGGGGCTGCTCCGCGCTGGCCGCCGCCCGGGCCGACCGGGAGCGCTGGCTGCGAGTTCTCCGAGCGTCGGTGCGGCCCCGCGGCGGGGGTGCGGTGGGGACCCCGGCGGGAGCGCGGGGAGCCGGGCGGGGGCGTGCCCCAGTGGGGGGTCCTGACGCCCCCCGGGCCGGGGCCAGGCAGGAAGTTTGGGGGTCGGCGGCTCGTGGTCGCGGGGGGGGGGCCGCGTGCACCCTGGCGCTGGCTTCAGAGCCCGGGGGCGGAGGGGGCGCCTGCAGCCTGGGGCCCCTCCCCGCCATCAGCAGGCCCTGAGAGGCCCTCCTGGGAGGGTGGCTCCAGCCCCACGGGGGACCGGGACGCCCTCGGGGCGCTGGCGGAGGAGCTTCCAGCAGGAGGGGCCGTGGCAGGGTTGGGGTGTGGGAGCTCCCAGGGCGAATGTGGGTCCCTGGCTTTGCTTCCAGGTTCGAAGACGACAAGCATGGAAAATGGCAATTCTCCAGGCTTTTATTACGAAATCCCAAATGTGGGCATCTCCCAACACCAGCCGGTGGCGAGCGGCTGCTCCCCTGCTGCCAGCGAGGACTTGAGGATCCTGGAGAGCTCCAGGACGATGGAGATGTTCTTCAGCAAGAGGTGCGGGCTGAGGGTGGGGGGCTCCCGCAGGGGCTCCCAGGCCCCCCCGCTCCCCGGGGACCACTCCACTGCCATCCTGCATTGGGTCCCGGGTTTAAAAACCGCTCAGAGTTATTTTGTGCCTCGAAAACTCGTGTCTGGAGAGAGAGGAGGACCTCCCCTGAGGAACTTACAGCACCGGGGACTGGAGCCCCCCCCAACCCTGCACACTCCCTTCAGCCACCCCAAGCTGCCTTTCTGGGTGGGGAACATTTGCTTGATACCGTGGGCTTCCCGAGCTGCTTCACCCCGCGATGTTAATTGTTGGCAAGAACTGATACATGTGAGGCCTCCTCTGGGCTCGGGCTGCCCTCAGCGCCTTATCTGGGCCTCTTGTGAACTCCGCCCCATAACGCTGTTGTCTGTGTCCCTGTTAGGGACGGAATTGTGTCCCCCCTGGTCTCTCCCACCCCCAGGATTCACGTGAAAGCCCTAACCCGCAACGTCATGGTGACCTGAGTTCTTTTGTCAGCGGAAGCTCAGCGTGGGCTTCAGCCCCAGCCACCCTGGCCTCTGCGCTGGCGGCAGGAGTCTGGGCCCCCCCTCCCCGAGCTCCGGAGCGTTCCAGGTGGAGGACTGGGCTGGGAGCCCCCACCTGCAGGTGCTCCTGGCCGGCTGCCCCCTGCCATCCCCCATGCTGCAGCCCGAGCCCCTGGTTGGGAGGCTGCCCTGCTGTCCTCTGGCAAGCACAGCACTCCCGTGGCTCAGCCATCCTCCACGCACCCCCCGCTACACCCGGCCCCGGAGATGGGGCTTTTGGGGAGTACTTAGGTATAGATGAGGTTGTGGGGCTCCACGGTAAGATTAGTGCCCATGTAAGAAGAAGAAAAAGCTAAAGCTTTCTCTGTCCACCACATGAAGACGCAGCGAGAAGGTGCCATCTGTGAACCGGGAAGGCGGCCGTCAGCGGGGACAGAGCCCGCAGGCACCCTCATCTCAGGCTCGTCCAGGCTGGGAGAAATAAATGTGTGTGGGGGCTCTGTAATGTCTGAGCACACCGACATAGTCCCCCCTTTAAACAAATTTTTTTTTTAGGATTTTATTCACTTATTCGTGAGACACACACAGAGAGGCAGAGACACAGGCAGAGGGAGAAGCAGGCTCCATGCGGGGAGCCCGATGTGGGACTTGATCCCGGGACCCGGGGTCACGCCCTGAGCCAAAGGCAGGTGCTCAACCGCTGAGCCACCCAGGAGCCCCTAATCCTCCCTTTACAGATGAGGAGAGCCACTGGGTCACAAGAGGGTAAGGAACCTGTCTGGTGGCAGAACCAGGTGGCCAGGCCCTTGCTCACCTGGCCACCTGGCCATTCCCACCCTGCAGTGGGCCTTTCAGCTGACTGGTTGTGTTCATGATTTTCTTGCTTGATCTTAGCATCGTTTCCATTTATTTTTTTAAGGAAAGTTTCCGTTTGTTCCTTTTTTTTTTTTTTTTTTAAGATTAAGCAGGTAAGATCTTTGCCATGCAGCCAAGTGGGAAAATAGGTGGTGTACGAGTTTGTTGGTGCTGCGACAGGATAGCACAGGCTGAGTGGCCCGAGACGGACGTGTGTCGTCTGTCGGTCTGGATGGAGGCTGCAAGCCGGGGGTGGTTTCCTGTGCGGGTGTGAGGGAGAATCTGCTCCAGGCCGCCCTCCCTGGCTTGTAAGGGGCTGTCTTCCCTCCCTGTGTCTGCGCGTCGCCTTCTCTTTGCGTGTTTCTCCGTGTCCAAGCTTCCCCTTGGCAGAAGGACAGCAGTCCCCTCAGAGCAGGCCCACCCTAATGACCTCACCGTAACCGGGTCTCCTGTGTGAAGATCTGTGTCCAGGTGCAGCCACGCGGTGCGGCGCTGGTATTCAGGCTCCGGTACGGGGCCCTGTGTGTGTGTGTGTGTGTGTGTGTGTGTGTGTGTGCAGAGGTGGGGCGTGGGGACACAATCAGCCCGTAACCACAGGCAAGCCAAGAAAAAAACGAACCAAGTCGGAGCCCCCGGATTTTTTTATCCTCGTGTCTGCTTTTCCTGGCATCTTTCTACAGACACATAACAGGGCAAACGGAGGTTCCTGTGTTCACAGATTTTATGTCCCTCCTCCTCTGGGAGGTGCTTCGTGAGCCCTCGGTGGCTCAGGGCTGGCACTGGAGGGCTGGCTGGTGGAGGGGGCTCAAGGTCTGGGGTTTCCGTGTGTTGAGCCGCCAGCTGGGCCATCCGCCTACATTGACACAGGTCGCTAGACCGTAGACGTCCCCGAGACGCAGTGGGACCAGAGAGCGCTGACGACTCGAGAGGGAGCGGAGGGAGGGGTCGAGCCAAGGGGAGTCAGAGTAGGTCCCCTCTTAGGTCAGGGTTTGCACGTTTAGATGGTGTGAGCAGCAGAGAAGCACACGGACCTTGGCGCACGTCCCCTGCCCCTCGCCGTGCACCCCCTGCAGCCTTCCGCCCACCCGCCCGCTCGCTGCGGCTCCGGGCCCTAGCTCCCTCCCCTTCTTTAGACCCGTCGCTGGTCCACGGGGGTCTGCCCCGTGTCTGCCTTCTGCCCAGCTGTGGGCCGGGCACTCTGGGCGCGTGGGGGACACAAAGCTCGCTCAGTCAACAACTGGAGCGGGGCAGCCCTCCGCTTCCGGGCAGCAGAGCTGGTGCTGCCTCCCGGGCACCGGCTGCCTCTCAGCCATGTCAGACACGGGCTTGCCCGCCTCCTGTGCGACCTTGGGCCATCGCTGCACCCTCGTGCCTCAGTTTCTCTCTGCAGAATGGGGGTAGCAACACTCTCCAGCTCAGGGGCTTGCTGGGAGGAGGAACTGAGATGGCGTGTGGTTCCCTGCACCGTCACCCCTCGGGCCTGTGCCGATGTTGGCCTTCTGTCTCCCGCTCTTCGCCTCTCTAGGGACGTCCCAGATGCCCCGGAGGAGGAGGAGGAGGAGTCCGAGGGTCCCCCCAGGGAGCAGGACCTGAAGGAGGCCTACATCCAGCTGGTGCAGGGCATGCAGGAGTGGCCGGACGGCTGTGTGTACCGAGGGGACTTCGGGCTGGACACGAAGCTGGGGCACGGTGAATTCTCTTGGCCCACGGGCGAGGTCAGTGGCTTCCACGGCTCCCTCCCTCCTGTCTGGGCTCAGCCAGCGATGCTGCCTCTCCTCCTCCCGCTCCTCCTCCTCCTCCTCTTTTAAGTGAGGGGGGTCAGTGCAGGGGCAGAGGGAGAGGGGGAGAGGGAATCTTAAGCAGACGTCGATCCCAACTGGGGGCCGCACCTCGCGACCCCGAGATCCTGAGCCGAACTGGGCATCGGATGGGTAACGGATGGAGCCCCCCAGGCGCCCCGGTCTCCCCCTTCTAAGAGGGCTGTGCAGTGGACTTGCAGGCCACGGCGGGAGGGCTCTGGGCCAGGGTCTTCCCGACCTGGGAAACATCCGCAGAGAAGCATCCTCAGACTTCCAGGGCCCTGGCCGCGGTTGGCCAGGTGTCCGGGGGGAGGCCTGGGAGCTGTGACCGAAGACACACTCTTGTCCAGGCGACTGTTTTGAAATCTCGAATGACTGTGTCCCAGTTGTATTTCTGTGGGTGAGCTGGCCCTGGAGCCTCAGGGTAAACAGAAGGAAGGGATCTTTTTAGCAATCAAATGACAGGGGTTCTGGAGGCTGCGCAGGGGGCTGGTCCAGGACCCCGGGGGGGACCCCGGGAGACGGGCTCTGCAAGCTGCTGCCTGCGGGGCTCCAGGCGGGTGGAGCAGCAGGGCCTGGGGCAGGACCGTGCCAGGCGCCCCGGCTCCGGCTGCCTCCCCTTCCAGCCGGGAGGTTTTCAGAGCGGCTCCTCCTCGCGTGAGGCGGGGCGAGGTCCCCTTAGGGGGCTTTCGCTCAGTAGCTGCAGGGGCAGTGGGCTGGGAGGCCCCAGCTCGGGCCCGTCCCCCGTGCGGAATGCACCCCGAGCTCAGGGAGCCCCCAGACCTCCCGCGGCCGGGACGGGGCCAGGATGGCTGGGGCCGAAGCTGGGGCTGAGCTTCCGTCAGCAGGTGCATGTCGCCGTGGCGTTGACGGTCAAGCCCCGATCCCTGCGGGGTGTCTGCGGCTTTAGTCCTCAGCTACTTTCTCTCTCTTACCCAACACTGTGGTGTCCCGGGCCCACTCAGCCCCCGTTCATGGCTTTGGGGTTCAGGTGTGCTGACCTGTCCGGCGGAGCCCCGGGAGGCCACGGCCAGCCTGGTCCCTGCCTGGTGGGGACCTCCAGGTCCACCGAGCAGGTGCTCGTCCAGCAGGACCTGGAGCGGCTGGGGGACCGGAGGGCGCACCGCTGCGAGCAGTGGCCTTAAAGGCGTTAACTGTGTTCAGGGGACAGGACCAAGCACGTCAGCTCTGGGGGTCAGATGGGGCTCCCGGGCTGGGCGGAGGGCCAGGGAGGGATGCGGCGAACTAGGGCCAAGTCCCCGTGGTGCTGCCTTATCCCGGGGACTGGACGGAAGGGTTAAATGTCCCCCCCGCAGTCCTATGCAATCTGCAAGTTCAGATTTTTTTTAGGAGGTGGGTGGACTCTGATGTGCCCCGCAAACCATGCAGATTACGTGGGTGTTGGCAGAAGGCGCAGAGTGTCCTGGGGCTGCACGGGCTCTTCAGAACCGGAACTGAGTCCGCACTCACCCCTGGTGGGACCCAGAAGGGCCTTTGCTGGCTCTCGTACCTGGAGAGTCCATCAGCAGGGGCCATGGGGCCCCAGGCATGGCCGGATCCAGGGGCTCCAGTGACCCTGCCGGGCACCTCCTCCCCATCTCCACGTGGGGGGTCGTGACTGACCCTCCACCATCTGGTGAGCCCACAGGAGCCGCATCACACCCGCCTGGAGGAGAGGAAAGGCCGTGGCATGCCCGGTCTGGCTTGGGCATGGGTCCTGTGGCCAAACCCAGGTCAGGGCCGGGGCCGGGGGCCGGGAGCCCTCGGGTTGGCCAGGCTCGGTCCCCTGTGGCTGGGCGCTGCGGTCAGTCCACCACCGACCCCGTGGGGAGTCCTGTCCGCTGCCAGAGGGAAGGGGGGACGCCAAGCAGGCAGCGGCTGCCATCCCGTTCGTCCTGGGTGGCGTGTAGGCATTGCCCGGCCAGCCCGCTCCTGCCGTGGAAGGAGGCGTGAGCGGTGCCCGAGGCCAGCGCGGCGGTTGGGAAGGGCTCGGCGTGGGCAGCACACTCTTTCTCCGTCCTGAGGCCCCAGTAGAGGGGCCAGGCTCGGACGGACACGCCCCTCACATCCGTGGGCTTGGGAAAGGGCCCACGGGCCCACATCCGTGGCTCAGTGTAGACGAGTCTTAAATCAAAGCCACACCGGTGTTCCCAGCCAGGGCCATGGCCTGCTCCTGGGGCCCCGCGGGGGGGCCCGAGGCTGGTGCTCCCCCCACCCCCCGCCCCCCCGCCTGGGCCAGCCTGCCCCCTGTGAGCCCAGGCAGGATGGGGGCTGAGCCTGGGCCTGATCTCTGAGGGGGGACGGCCCCCACCCAAACCTGAGCTGGGGGGGCGGGTGGGACGGATCCAGCCCCCGGGGGGCTGACCGCCTGGCACCTGCTCCTTGGGATGCACGTGACCATCTCTACAAACTCGGAGGGGGCCTGCGGCCAGGTACCCCGTGCTGCCCTCACTGCCCACCTGGCGTGCTGGCCCCCCCGGGGGAGGGGGTTCCCGGAGCCGCCTCCCCGGCACCGCCTGGCACCGGCTCTCTCCGCAGTCTTACCGGGGGCAGTTTTACCGGGACCACCGCCACGGGCTGGGCACGTACCTGTGGCCCGACGGCTCCAGTTTCACAGGCATGTTCTACCTGAGCTCCCGAGAAGGCTACGGCACCATGTACCTGAAGACGAGGCTCTTCCAGGTGAGGGGCGGGGCGCCCGCGTGCGGGTGTGCAGGGCCGGGCCAGGCGGGCCCTGGGGTTCAGGCCACGGGATAGAAAGACCCCATTCTCCCGAGCAGGGCGGGGGGTCAGCGCGCTGCGTGTCCTTCAGGGCCAGCTGTAAACGCACAGAGATGTTGAGGTTTCAGTACATGCATCGTCCCACGTGTTTCATCTTGAAACCTGCCTTTTTCCCCCGGAGAACGTTCCAGTTTTGCAGAGAAGCTACCTTTCCCCCTTCGATCTCATCACGGCGTCAGTCACAGCGCAGCCCGCCCGCGTTAGTGCGGGGGCCTCACCAGGGGTGGCTGCTGCCCCCTCCGCGCCCCTGCCGTGACCCGCGGCCCCTTTGGGACGGGCTCTCCTCGCGCCCCAGCCGCGGGCCTGTCTCTTCGCCTATGACTTGCCTTTGCAAGAACGTCACCAAGCGCAACATGTAGACGCTCGAGGCCGGTGCCTTTCACGCAGCAAAATGGCTCTGCGACGGCGCGCGTTGCGGGGGGCACGCAGCCCCTTCCTCGTTGCCAGGCGCTGTCTCGGCGCCCGGTGCCACCACCGCCGTCCGTTCCCCGCAGACACACACCCGGCTCGTTGCCAGCTCCGGGCGACCATGAATCACGCTGCTGTAGACAGTCACGTGTGGCGTTTTGTGCACGCGGGAGTGTAGGCGTGTGCGCTCGTGTGCATGCATCACCCCTGCCCCCACCCCCCGATCTCCAGCCCTCGATGACTCTGTTCTGCTTGTGGGCACCGCTGTCCCTTGTCCGTCATCTCAGGTCACCCTGCAGCAGGGTTTCCTCTGGGGCAGGACATGGTTTTCGGAGACTCAGACACGCTCGCGGACGTCGGCATCTGTCCCTTTTGCTGCGAAGCGGGATTCCATCGTGCGGATGGGATGCGGCTTTTACCGGTTCCCCGAAGGCTGCACGTTTGAGTTCTTTCAAGTTTCTGGTTCCTGTGACCGAAGCTGCCCAGAGCATTTGAGCGCCGGTCTTCGTGTGCCCGCGTGTCTGTCTTCTCCTTTGGATGAACACCTGGGCGCGGGGCTGCGGGCCATGGGTCGGGCGTATGGTCAGTCTCACACGACGCCTCCGAGTGGCCTTCCCAGTGGCCCTGCCGTCCGCGGTCGGCCCATCACATGGGAAGGTTCTCGCCGCTCTGTGCCTCCGTCAACATTTGCTGCTTTCATTCTAGCCACTCTGAGGCAGACCAATTTTTCTTTCCTAGTTCTTGTTTTTTTTTTTTTAAATTTATTTATTTGTTTATGAGTCAGAGAGAGAGAGAGAGGCAGAGACCCAGGCAGAGGGAGAAGCAGGCTCCATGCAGGGAGCCCGACGCGGGACTCGATCCCGGGACCCCGGGGTCACGCCCTGGGCCGAAGGCAGAGGCTCAACCACTGAGCCCCCCGGGCGCCCCAGTTCTTGCCCGTTTATATCCCAGCTACAAAATCGTAGGTTAACCCGAGGCTACTGGGATTTTCGTCTTCGTTCTGTCCTCCGTGTTAGGGTGTTAGCTCTGACGTCGGGGTCCGTGGCGGATTTCGCGTTAGCCCCGGGATTTCACGGGAAGCGAGGCCAGGCCTTCCCCCTCCGCCGCCCCCGCCGAGGCTGCCCAGGCGTTGCGTGCCCTTGGCTGAGGAGGCCCTTGCTTCTCCACGGCCGGGCTGCGCATCTTTGTCAGGAGCCACGTCCGGAGACACATGTCCGGGGGTCTTTCCTCCTGCGACGTCGGGATTCGTCCGTGGGGGCAGGGTCTGTCCCGATAGTGGTCTCGCCTCCCTTCCCATGACCTTGGAGATGATCGATGACCGTTACCTCGTTAGAGGGCGCGAGACAGCGACTTTCTAAATCTCCGACTCCTCCTTCATGTATTAACTTTCATCTACATCGTCCAACCGTCTGGTTACCTGGAGGGAGTTTACGGGGAAGGCAGCGTGACCCTTGACGCTGTGCCAGTTGTCAGCCAGTGAGGTGACTGCCACCCACGTTCTTCGGGGCTCATCAGTGGGGCCTAGTGGGGTTCTTAAGGATCTTGATAAACTCATGGATTCTTCATATATTTGGCTTATCTCGGCACATCGTTAAGCTTCTCGATGCCCCAGTTGTCACTCTTCGGTCGGGGGAGCCTCCGTGGCTCGGGTCTCGCAGTTGACGCCACTCCAGGAGGCTTTGGTGGTTTTCTTGCCTTTTGCCGTGAGGAGGAGACGCCGGCTCGTCCGTATGCTTCCTGCCCTGGCCCCAGAACTGGCCGCTTACCCGGCACGCCTGGTTCCGACAGTGGGACATGGTGTTTAGACACCACAGTTTGGGTGCTTATTACTACGGTGTTGATCTGGTTTTCATTTTTAGGTATTTTTCAGTAGCAGATCTAGAAATTCTTCCCCCCCCCCCCAAATGAGGAAAGACACCACCGGTTCATACGGACGTCTCCAAATCCAGTTTAGGAGCGTCCAGGGTTTTTACTCAGCAGCCGTGATGCTGGATTTGCTTATCTTTTCTCTTGGTCCTAAAAATCGTTTCTAAGTATCAACAAAATTTCTTGTTTTATCTCATAAAAGGGTTTCAGAATAATAATACAGCACGAGCACCACTGTGGCTCCGTCTGTCCCGGGCTTGCCCCGCGGGAATGTTGAATCCAATCACGGGACACAAGTCCTCTCTGTGCGTGACCTTCCACCTGAGGCTAGAGCCGCGCTCCCTTGTTTTGCTTTCGTTTTTTGGGATTCGACGTTTCAGATCTTGCTTTGATTTTGTTTTATGATTGCGTAAACAGCTGATGTTTTTCTGAAGGCAAATCTAGCAACCGGGGTCAGCCCAGAGTCCGGCGTCCCTCCTTCCTCTCCTGTCGCAGGCGATGGTTTCTGGGGCTTTGTCCTCGGGCCTGCACGCAGCAGGGCGTGCTCTCCGCGCTCCTCCGTCGGTCGCCTGACGTCCAGACGTCTCGTGTCCTCGCAGCCGCCTGGGAAGGACTGACCACACGGGCTTTTCTCAGGTCTCTATTGTGCCATTGGGCGCGGCGGTGACGGCCTGGCTCAGTAGTCGCTCTGTGCTGTTGTTGGGATCTCTGGGACTCATTCCTAGGAGGGCGTTGTCTGGCCACAAAGTGCGTGTGCAGCGAAGACGATTTCTTGAGCCTGTGGCCTGTTGCGCCCTGTTGCACGGCCTCCTTTATTTAGCCACCGTTAGGGTTGTCGTCTGTTATTAGTGTTGTAATAGTGTAACCACAGTATTACTGGTAAACTGTTGTGAACGTGCGTGTGAGCGTAGCTTTGGTGACGTTGGGGTCACCTCGTTAGGATAGATTCCTGGCGGGGGAGCTCCCGGGTCAGCTCCGGGGGCACGAGCGCCCTTGGGCTCCTCATTGATCTGCAGCAGCTGCTTTTCCGACTGCCTGCCTCCCTGCGCCCCCTTTTCCTGCTGTGTCCCCAGCTCTCTTCCGGGCCCCTCCGCCTTGTAGTGAACGCGGACCCCCGAGCAAGCCACTTTCGCAGACTGCGGTGGCACTTGGTGCCCCCTTGCTACTCGGAGATCCTTCCCGAAGCACGTCTGCCGCCCCCACCCCACTCCTGCACCACGGGGCCATCCTCCCGCGTTTGACTCCCCCTTTTCATTCCTTTGGCTGCTCCAGCCGAGCGGCCTGTGGGCGGGCTGGGGGTCGGGGCCTTCCCCCGAAGCGCCCAGCCCGGGCCTGCCCCCGAGCACCCCACCCGGCCCACAGACGAGGGCGCAGCTGCCCGCAGTGTCCGTGCGTGTCAGCCCCCGCACCTTGTCTGGGCTGTCCCCGGCCTTCCCGGGGACCCCCAGGTGGCTTCGGCGCCAGCGCAGTCAGCAGGGGGCTCTCCTGGGAAGCGGGGCCTCTCTCGGAGCTCCCTGTGCACATGCTTCTTTCCAAGTTTCCTGGGGGGAGGGGGGGCAGATTCGCCTTTCAGTCAAGGCTCTCGGCCCTTTCCTCTCCACGCATCCTCCTCCACCCAGCAGACGCCGGCCCGCCCGGTGGGAGCACCTGGGGAGGCCCAGACATCGCTGCACTCTGCCGAGCTCGCTGCAAGCCAGGATTAGCTCCCCCTCCGCCCCCCGCTCCTCCTGCCTTCTCAGTCTGTGCCTGCTGGGGTCTCTGTGACCTGGGGCCCGGGCATCTGGGCCCCACACGCGGCTGGGGTCCTGGGCTGGGCCCCCTAGTGCTGCGAGGGGTCCCCTGAAATGAGCCCACACGTGGTATCCCCGACACGCTTCCACTGGAGACCCCGGGGCATTCCCCACTTTCCCAGGGAGGCCAGCCCGACCACCCCGGGCCTTAGGTCCTGTCTCCGCCACCGTGTTCCCTCTTGACACGTTTGCTGTTGTCCCCCGTCCCTGGTGCGTCCTGAGTATCCGCAAATATTTGCTAAGTGAGCAAATACATTTCTTAGGGATGTTTTCTTTTCTTGATTTCGAGAACCTGCTGCAGAGCACAGGGCCCTGCTGAACCGTCCGCTCTGCCCCCTGAACTCTGTCTCGCAGGGACTGTACAAAGCAGACCAGCGGTTTGGGCCGGGCGTCGAGACCTACCCCGACGGCAGCCAGGACGTCGGGCTGTGGTTTCGGGAGCACCTCATTAAGCTGTGCACGGAGGTCGCCGGTGGCTTCTCCATACACAGCTACCCAGAGTACTCGGCCTTCCTCACGCGCTCTCCCGCTAGCATCAGTCTCTCCGACGAGGAGTGCGTAGAGCGGGAGCCGCACGAGGGAGAGGACCCCTTTAACTACGACTACAAGCGCTTCCTCCTGGATGATGACCTAACTCTGCCTCCAGAAATGTACGTTTACTCCACCGACAACAGCCACCTGCCCGTGACCTGCTCTTTCCGCAAAGAACTAGATGCCCGGATCTTCCTTAACGACATCCCCCCGTTTGTTGAGGACGGAGAACCCTGGTTCATAAAAAATGAGACCCCTTTGATGGTCAGAATCCAGAAGCAAGCTTACAAGTACAGGTAAGGGTCCCGTCTTTCTTCCCACCTCCGCGTCTGGGAGCCCTGCCCCCCCCCCCCCAGCACACGAGCTACGCTGAGGGGCCCCTGCGGCCTCGGCACCGGCTGAGTCACCTGCAGGGCTGTCGTCAGGTTAATGTAAATGTGCTTTTCCCTTTCGACTGAGGCAGCCGCACGGGGCCATGAGCTGGGCCGTGCTCCCCACATTGTGAGGACGGGGGTGGGGCAGGCAGGTACCGGGCCATGGACGCCTGGAAGGAGTGGTCAGGGGGTGGCTTGGTGCGCGTGGGGCCAGGGCAATCCCTGGAAGAGCGTAGAGCCTTGGAAGGGGACGTGGGGCAGGGTCAGCTCCTGAGTGGTGGCACTGGGTTCAAATCCTGGCTCTGGGACCCCGTGTGTGTCTCCAGGTGGGAGCTCGGGCCCAGCCTCTGTAGGTCGTGTGTGTGACCAGGTGTTCGTGGCTCAGGCACCTGCACAAGGTCCGCGCAGAGAGGAGGGACTGCTATTACCAGACCCCACCCGAGAGCCAAGGGTGGGAGGCCCGGGTAGGCGTAGGCTGGGGGCTGGCTGGCTCCTCCGAAGTGCCTGGGAGACGTGGAGCTGCTCCGCGGGTCTCCGAAGACCGCCTCCCCCCACCCCAGCCCTGGAAAAGTTAGTAGCTACCTGAGGAAACCTGATTTTTTTAAAGTTAAAATTTAAAAAAAGGTATTATTTATTTATTCATGAGGGACACAGAGAGAGGCAGGGACACAGGCGGAGGGAGAAGCAGGCTCCACGCAGGGAGCCCGAAGCAGACTTGATCCCGGGTCTCCAGGACCACGCCCTGGGCTGAAGGCAGATGCTCAACCACTGAGCCACCCAGATGTCCCTAAAGTGAAAATTTTCAAGAGTATTTTCATTGGTTTACTAAACTTCGTTCTCTGGTATCACTAAACTGTTTTAGGATTCATGCTTTGTGAGCACAGGTGGCTCCTTCTGCACTCATGCATCCACCCTCCCATCTACCCACCCATCCCTCCACCCACCCACCTGTCCACCCACCCACCCGTCCATCCACCCGCCTATCCACCCTCCCCTCCACCTATCCACCTAACCGTCCATCTGTCCATCCATCATGCAGACAGCTGAGACAGCCGTTGTTGATAACTGTTGGGTACAGAAGCCTCCCTGAATCCATGATTCTTTTTCTTTTTTAAAAGATTTTATTTATTTACTCATGAGAGACACACATGCACGCACAGAGGCAGAGGCAGAGACACAGGCAGAGGGAGAAGCAGGCTCCATGCGGGGAGCCCGACGTGGGACTCGATCCCGGGTCCCCAGGATCACGCCCCGGGCAGAAGGCGGCGCTAAGCCGCTGAGCCCCCGGGCTGCCCTGAATCCACGATTCTTGGCTGTGGAGGAGGTTATGTGCACGCAAGAGGCTTCAGTGTGTGGCGGTGGAGGGGCCATGGGGCTTGCATGTTCTCTCCTCAAATAGAAAAGCGAACGGGCAGGCGGGATGTGAGTGCTTGGTGCCGAGTGCCAGATCCATGTGTGTGCCCGGCCGCCTTCCCAGCCCCTCGCCCGGCCCGCACGGAGGGGCCGCTGAGTCGGGGGCGCGCAGGGTCCCCTCGCAGCCATTCCTGCCCAGGGCACACGAGCAGCTTGAGCGTCTTCCGCCGTGGGCAGCGCGTCGCACCACGGTGCTGCGTCCTCGCTACTGCGACCCGCCGGTGGGCGGCCCCGGGGCTCAGGGTGCCTGAAGAGTGGGCTGGGAGGGAGGAAGAGGCCGGGGCGGGGCCGGGTGAGGAATGCAGAGGGGGGTGCGGGGGGGCCCCGAGTGGGGCCCGGAGCTGGCCCGGCCACCGAAGCCCCCGTTGCCAGGAACAAGAGGGCTCACAGCAGCTGGGGCATGGGCGCCGTGCTGGAAGGGGACCGGAGCGGCTTTGCGCGCTGCGGGCCCAAGGAGCGCTTCGCCGAGGACATGATCCTGAGGGCCCGGGAAGGGAGCTACGACTGGATCTACGGGATCCTCCGGGACGGGCTCGCCAGCGCCGACGTGGCCGATGCCAAGGGCTACACCGCGCTTGCCGCGGCCGCCGTGAGTCCCCCGCCGGGCGCCCCCGGGAGGGCGGAGCGGGCCGGCCTGGGCTCCTCGGCGTCAGGGGCCGCGTCCTCCCAGCCCAGAAGCGGGGGGCACGGGGTCAGGTGACAGCGAGCGGCCCGGGGCGCCTCCACCTTCCCACGCCGCGGCCTCGAGTCGGCGCCTGCCGTCCTCACGAGGCCGGCTCCTGCCTCCAGCTCCACTGTCACAAGGACGTTGTCAACCTTCTGCTGGACAACGGGGCCGACGTGAACAAGTTCACGGATGAGGGGCTCACGGTGCTCAGCATGTGCTTCCTTCTCTACTACCCGTCCCGATCCTTCAAACCCAACATCGCCGAGCGCACGGCGCCCAAGCCCCAGGTCAGCCCCTGCCCCGCAGCCCCGCAGCCCCGCAGCCCGGCCTGGTGTCTGCACCACCCTGTCCCCCGCCCCCCGCCCACCTACCCCACGTCCCCGTCCCTTGTCCCCCATCCCCTGTCCCCCGTGCCCATCCGCCTGTCTGTCTCTTCTCGCAACGCCCACCAGTCTCCCCCAGTGTGGATCAGCTTCAGGTGGGGTGAGGGGACATTAAGGCCTGCGGGGCGGGGAGCGGGAGGCAGGGCCGTTGCTGGCACGCTCGCTCGGTGTCCCGAGCTCTTGCCTCAACGCCAAGGGGTACGTGTCCCAGAGGAGCCACGTGCGCAGCGGTGGGGGCCCCGAGACCCCTCCTGTGGGCTGCAGGGAAGGAGACAGGGAGGGAGGGAGGAGGGGGGGAGGAGGGAGGGAGGAGGGAGGGAGGAGGGGGGAGGAGGGAGGGAGGAGGGGGGAGGAGGGAGGGAGGAGGGAGGGTGGGCTGGCGTCCAGGAGGGAGGCCCACCTTTGCCCACTGTGAATAGTGCTGCCCGGACGGCGCTGGGCAAGCGTCGGTGTGTGCTCCTGCTTCCGCGTGTTTCCCGTGGGATCTGGGGGTCACACGGTGTCCTGTGGTTCATCCAGGCGCCTCTGAGCCCCTGGCCGCTGCAGGGGCACCGCCATCCGCTGGGTTCCTGTGCCTGGTGGGGCCGCCAGCCGGGTGGGCAGTGCCCGAGGTCCCGCTCCCCACAGTCCAGGGCCGCCTCGGTGGCCTGTCCCCTGAGCACCGGCCGGGGGTGGGGGGCGCGTCTATAGGGGCTGCTCCCACCCCTTGGGGACCCTGGCGCCTGTCAGGGCTGTGGGGCCACCCAGTCTGGGACTCGCGTCCACCCAGCAGGCCTTCGGGGTGGGGGGCTGCCGCTTTCCCCGCGGTCGGGGCCTCTCCTGGGCCGCTGAGGGAATGGCGCACGGTGGGCCCCTTCTCTCACCTCATCCCTTCTCCTGGATTCCTTCCTTGAGGAGACGACCTTACGAGCCCCGGCCTGTGCCCCACGGCGGGCAGAGCGCCTGTTACCCCAACATGACCCCTCTGCATCTCCAGCCCCCAGCTTCTGCCTTCAGTTCTCTGAGGTGGGAGCACAGCAGCAACCGGGGACTTCAGGGTGGCGGGGCCCACGGGCCTCGGGTCCTGACCACGTGGGGAGCAGGTGCAGGTGGGGAGGGGGCCGGGCCCACAGGGTCCCGCTGCCCCGGGTGGGTGGGGGGAGCAGGTGCACGTGGGGAGGAGGCTGGGCCCACAGGGTCCTGCTGCCCCGGGTGGGTGGGGGGAGCAGGTGCACGCGGGGAGGGGCGGGCCACAGGTCCTGCTGCCCGGGTGGGGGGGGAGCAGGTGCACGCGGGGAGGAGGCTGGGCCCACAGGGTCCTGCTGCCCCGGGTGGGTGGGGGGAGCAGGTGCACGCGGGGAGGAGGCTGGGCCCACAGGGTCCTGCTGCCCCGGGTGGGTGGGGGGAGCAGGTGCACGCGGGGAGGAGGCTGGGCCCACAGGGTCCCGCTGCCCCGGGTGGGTGGGGGGAGCAGGTGCACGTGGGGAGGAGGCTGGGCCCACAGGGTCCCGCTGCCCCGGGTGGGTGGGGGGAGCAGGTGCACGCAGGGAGGGGGCGGGCCCACAGGGTCCCGCTGCCCCGGGTGGGTGGGGGGAGCAGGTGCACGTGGGGAGGAGGCTGGGCCCACAGGGTCCCGCTGCCCCGGGTGGGTGGGGGGAGCAGGTGCACGTGGGGAGGAGGCTGGGCCCACAGGGTCCCGCTGCCCTGGGTGGGTGGGGGGAGCAGATGCACACGGGAGGAGGCCTCCCAGGGAGGCAGGCGCTGAGCACCCCACAGGGAGACGAAGGTGGAGGGTTTGTGAGTCCGCGCTCCTTCTTGGCTGGAAGTTGTTCATGTACAGTAACGAAGTTCAAAGGTGATCGTGTGGACGCGGTGGGGAGATCATTTCCACCCCTGCCGTCCCCCCTTTGTTGCGAGCTTCTGGGGACAGGGCCTGGCTTTTTCCCGTGGCTTCTCCGGGCCCGCGGCGTCCCCCTGGCCGTCGGGGAGGCCTCATCAACTATGGGTGAAGGCAGCTGGAGTCCCCGAGAGCATTTCTTTCGTATACTTAAGGTTCTGGTAAAAATCACTCCTCTACCTTTTAAATTTCTTATTCTGAAAAAACACTGCCCGTACACAAAATAAGAGGAGGCGGCGGCACGTGCAGGAGCACGCGTGGACCGTCGCGCAGACTGAGGCGTCGCCAGCTCGCGGCGCACCCCCCGCGTCCACTCGCCCGCTGGGCCCCAGCCGCGCTCACCTTCAGGCCAGTTCCACGTGTGCGCGCTCGGGCCGCAGGGCCGGCGGCGGAGGACCCGGTCGTCCCTCTGCCTCTCAGCACCCGCAGTGTTGCCAGCGCCCCGGGAGCCCTGGGGGCAGGTTCCCTGGGTTCCCACGGCGACACCTCTTTAGAACGGGGGCCCCGCGTCCAGCCGCAGCCGGGCTCACGCACCGCACCGGGAGCCTTCCTTCCCGGCGGCCTCCGTGTGGGCGCGCCCCTGTGCTCCCTGCACCCCGCGGAGGCCCCGGGCCCGGGAAGCCTCCCCGTCTACGGGGGGCACGGAGAGCTGGCCGCACCCCCAGCATTACTGCCTCAGGGGTCTGGGCTGGGGCCCAAGAGCCCGTCCTCCTGGCCACAGGGACGCCGCTGTCCCGGGACCACCCGGGGGGACAGAGGCTCTGAACGGGGCCCCGGCGGCCTCCCGTGGATGTGGCGCAGCCACGTGGCCATCCTGCCCTGTAAGTGTGCAGGGTTGGGGTGCGGGCGGGGTCCTGGATCGAGCCCCACCGGGCCCCCTGCTCATCGGGAGCCTGCCTCCCCCTCTGCCCTCCGCCCTGCGCACGCTCTCTCGCTTTCTCTCGAATACACTAAATCTTAAAAGTCTCTAGGAGCCACGGTAAAAAAAAGCGGTAAACCAGGGGGCGTTGATTCTGAGAAGGTATTTTGCTCAACCCGAGCGTATCCACGGGCGAGCGTCTGTGTGAGGAGCGCGAGGACCGAGGCCATCGGCTGTCTGGGCCCACGCTCGCCGGATGTGGCCGGGCTCCGTGCCGCGTGGCTCAGGTTTCGGGGTGTCCGCAAAGTGCTTCGGCGTCGTCGGCCCGGGAGCCCGGAAGCGCCGTGTGCACCGTGCGCGCCGCTTCTTGCTAAAGAAGTTGGTTTAACTTCTTTAGGTTCAGGGTTGGCGCTCTGACCTCTCGTTTCTTCTAATGGGACGCGTGCCTCCCCTCCTCCCCCAGGAAGCCCCGAGTGTGCCAGCGAACCCCAGCCGCTCCTCCTCACTCCCCGAAGCCGCCAAGGAGCCCAGTTTGGAGGAGTGGGTGCCCACGCCCGGCAGCCAGGAGCAGAGGCCCGTGGTGTCGGGCAGCGAGGAGGACGGCCTCTCCGCGGGCACGCAGCCGTCTCGAGAGTCCCCCGACCCGGGGGGCAACCCTCAGGAGTGGGAGCCTGTGTCGCCGCGGGGCAGCGTCAGCGACCTGGAGAAGGGGATGGTTGGCGTGGCGGGGAGTCCGGACAGGTGCACGCCGGGCAGCCAGGAGACGGACTTCGAGTCCGACGTCTGCGTGCACAACTACACCATCGAGCTGTCCCAGGACCTGCTGGAGAAGAGCGCCCAGGCCCACAGCACGCTGAAGAGGCAGTCCCTCGGCGCCCCGGCTCGGTGAAGGGCACCATGAGGAGGATGGCCCTGGCCATGATCGAGTAGGTCGCTGGAGCGCGAGCGCGGGGGCCGAGGGCCACGCCCGGGGCGGCGAGCCTGCAGGGATGCGGGGGGCCCGTGCCGGGCGCTGCCGCCCGGGGTGTCGGGGTGGCCACTGCCTGTGCGACACCGGGGGACAGTGGCAGTGAGAATCCAGGAGCGCCGGGGCCCCCACGGGGGCGCACACACACGCCTACCCCACGTGCACCCAGAGCCCGCACACGTCCGCTGGCTCGCCCTCGCTAGGCCTGCACATTCATACACGCGCTCGCACACGCTCATCTGCACACGCTCGCCCCCTCACCCCCACTCCCCACACGCTGCCCTGCACGCGGTCCTACACACACGCTCACCCGCCCCCCGCTCCCCTGCAGACCCTCAGCCCTCGGCCTCTCCAAGCGCCCGCGGGGGCCCCAGACTGTCGGGGAGTCTGGGCGGGGAACGATCCTCCTAACGCTCCTCAGACATCACCTGCCCTTTTGCCCTGTGACACCCGCCCCGCGTCTCCTGCCCCGCACACACGCCGCTGGGAACGCACGCGATGCAGCAGCGGGGGCTTCTCAGCCATAAACCTTGACCCCCAGGCCGGGCCTTTCCGCTGCTGTGCGACAAGCTGGGGGTCCCGAGGCTCGCCTGCTCCCACCCGGCGGGACGGTTCTCCCGAGGGAAGAGCATCTCCGGCACGGGCATCGCGGGGGGCGCTGCCGCCGTCCCCGGAGGGACACCCCCTTACTTGCAAGAATGACCGACTGGCACGCAAGGGTCCCTCGTCCTTGTACACACGCTGAGCCTCGGGCTCTAGGAGCCCCCCGAAGGGTGTGTGGCCAGTGGTGACGTCTCGGCTCTCGAGAGGAGACTTGGATTTTGGACGCTGTGCACCTGTCACCGTGTGCACCCCCCGCAGCGTCCGATGACACCTGTCAGCCTCGGGGAGAGCTCAGTTCATTCCACACGACCAGGTCCTGATGTCACAGACTCACCCGGGCTTGGGACCCTCGCAGTGCTGGATTCTGATGAAGCCAAGTGCACGTTTTTTATAAAAGCTTGTTTTTGTTAATATGCAATGGGTTTATAATTTTTTTTAATGTATTAGTATTTAGGCATTTTTCTCATCTTACCTGTACTGCGGTAGACACGGGTGGGTGGAACCTGCACATACAAAGCTCTTTGGGGTCCTCGAGGGACCTTAGGAGTAGAGAGGGTCCCAAGGGCAGGGCGTTTGAGCGCCGCTGCTCTGGGCTGACCCGGCCTGCCCCCTGCGCTCTTGCCTGCCCCCCTGCGGCTGCGCTGGCGGCGGGGTCAGCAGGCCGGGCCGGACCCCCTCTGGTCCTGCTCCCCTCCCGCCGTACAGCCCGCTTGGCTGCTCAGCACGTGCTCCTCTGTCCCCAGTGGGGCTGTCGTTCCCGCCGGGTCTGGGCAAGGCTGCCCTGCTGCTGCTGGCCCCGCGCTGCTTGTAAGGGAGGTGCAGTGCACGGACGCACGTGTGTGTGGCGTGTGTAGGTGTAGGTGTGTGTGTGTTGTACACGCGTGTGTGTGACATGCACGGTGTGCAGGCTGTGCTGTACATGCACATGCATGTGTGATGTGCATGTGTGTTTGTACCTGTCGTGTGTCCGTGTGTGCACGTTGTGTACGTGCGTGTGAGTGTAGGTATGTCCCATGTGTATGTGTGTGTGGTGTGTGGTGCGTGTATGTGTGCACACGCTGTGTGTGCACGTGCGAGCATGCACGTCTGGGTGCAGCGTCGTGCCCCGCGTGTACTAGGTGCCCATGGCCACCGGGGAGGGAGGGCTGGCCCCCAGCTCGTGCCCCATGTCACAGGTGACGGCAAGGCTGAGCGGCCACCCAGGGCTGACGCAGGCAGGGCCGTGGGGCCTGGAGCCTGGTGGGGGTGGCCAGCTCAGGGTGGCGACAGGGGGCCACCCTGGGGCAGGGCAGGGGCCAGAGGTCTCGGGAAGGCGAGGCCGCGGGTGTCCTCGGGCCAGGCTGTGCCTGCCGGGGCTCCGAGCGCCTCTTGTGACCCGGGCGGGGTGCTGTCCTGTGCCTGTCCTCCGGGCTGTGACTGTGTCACACCGATCCGATCCTTGCAGACGCCGAAGCCGGTGGCAGACCATCGAGCTCCTCCTGCGCCGGGGCGCGGACCCCAACCTGTGCTGCGTGCCCATGCACGTCCTGTTCCTCGCTGTGAAGGCCGGGGACGTGGCCGGGGTGAGGCTGCTGCTGGAGAACGGCGCCCGGACGGACATCCGGCTCCCCGCCGAGGTGGGACCCGCGGGGGAATGGCGGGGCCCGGGGGGGCGGGGCAGGTTGACCGGGGCCCCGGTGGAGAGCTCAGAGCCCTGGTTCTGCAGTGTCCTGGCGGAGCTGGGCTTGGGGGTGCGCTCGGGGGTGCACTCGGGGGGGCTGGCCGGGGGCCGCGGACGGCCCTGGGCTTCGGCGCGGTCGGCTGCATGCTCCTGACCAGGCTCTCTCGCCTCCGTGTGGCCGGCACGTTCGGACAGCGCCTGCAGGGGGCCAAGGGCCGCCATGGGTGGTGCCGGGCCCGGGCGGGACTGCAGTGGGCAGCCGGGTGGCCGTCCCCGCGGGGGCATCCGGAGCGGGGGCCCGGCAGGACGGCAGGGCGCCTGTTGGAGGGAGGCGGGGCCGCTGGCTAACGTGCAGACAGGCCCCGGGGCTGCGGGCCTGGCAGGTGGAGGCCCGCGGGAGCCGACGCGGGAGCGCTTCGTTGTCCCACACGTTGCAGCGAGGCCGGGAGCACGTGGCCGTGGGGTGTCCGAGAGTTGGGGGCGGGGGCCGTGCCCTGGGAGCCGGCCTCACCCGTGCCCGTGTCGCCTCTGCAGCTGGGGGCCCTTACCCCGCTGCACATCGCAGCCGCCCTGCCGGGGGAGGAGGGCGTCAAGGTCACGGAGCTGCTGCTGCACGCTGTCACGGACGTGGACGCCAGGGCGGCCGACCAGGACGACGTGTACCAGCCGGGCAAGGTGCGCTGGCCCGGCCGCGGGGTGGGGGTGCTGTGGCCCCAGGGCCCTCCTGTCCGAAGTTCGGTCTCACGCCGCTGTCCCCAACGAGCTTCACTAGTGCCCCGTGTGCCCCGCGCGGCCAGGGTCTTGTGCGCAGCTCCCTGGGCAGGAGCCCGGGTGGGCAGGGGACCGGCTCTGAGCCCCTCCGCGTTTCACTCCGGGGACTCGCAGCCGCCATCTGGGGACGGAGGCCACTGGGTCGTGCTCCGCACCGAGCTCGCACCTGCCGGCGTCTCCCGGGTCAGCCTCCCGCCGGGGACGGGCGCGGGGCCAGCACGTGTCCCCTCTGCACGCAGCTAGACCTGCTGCCCTCGAGCCTGAAGCTCAGCAACGAGGCAGGCCCCGCCAGCATCTACCACAGCCAGCGTGCCTCGGCGCCCGACGAGGGGGGCAGGACGGCTCTGCACGTGGCCTGTGAGCGCGAGGACAGCTACAAGGTGCGCCGGGTCCCTGCAGGCGGGTGGCGGGGGGCGCCGGGTGGGGGCCCGTGCGTGTGTGCATGTGTGTTCCGCGGGCACCTGCCTGTGGGCGTACGGGCACGTCTGTGTGCGCGCCTGTGGTCAGCGTGGGGGCGTCTGCGCGTCCTGCGTGTCCGTGCTCTGTGCGCGGGGTGGTCACCGCAGCCCGCCGTCACCGCCACCAACCGTCCCAGGCTGGGACTCCCTGGGCCGCGGCTGGTGCCTCCTGTCGGCCTTGGGGATTTATTGTCAGCAAGCAGGTGCGGGGACCTGTCGGAGGAGGGCCGGGCGGTTGGGGAGGGTATGGGGGTAACCGGGAACCAAATCTGGGCGTGGTGCGGTCAGCCAGCGCAGCGCGGGTCAGTAAGCCTGGGTGCACTCAGTAGACCGAGCCTCAGTTCACCCCAAGTGAAAATGGTAGCCAGCCGCTCGGGTCTGGGGTGTGGGTGGTTTGCCCCCGCACAGGGTGATGATTGTGGGGGTGTGAGGACCTGCACGGGGGTGGGCGCAGGGTGAGGCTGGGTGGGCCGGTGGGCGGCCCCCACACACCACCCCACTTCACTGCGTCCCTTGTCAAAGCCTCCTGGGGCCCAGCCCAGCACTCTGCCCATCGTGTCTGCTCCAGTGGGGGGGACGGGAGGGGGAGGCCGCCTTGGGCTGACACCTGGCCGGGGGGGGGTGGGGGCGGAGGAGAATGGGCCTGAAGGTGGCCCAAGCAGCCCCCTGGGTCTGCCCCTGCAGGGGGAGCGGCAACCTGGAGGAGTCCTTGTGGCGGGGGACCCGCAGCACCCGCGGGAGAGGAGGAGGGAGAGAAGGGCAGGGACGGTGGGGACGGGCCCTTCCCACGGGGTGCACCCCGTTTGCTGGGGCCGGGCTGCTCCTGCGCTCGGTGCCCAACACGACCCCTGGGCCCCGGGGCGAGGCACGTTCCTCTGGCCGGACGGACGCGCGCCGGCCTTGCTTCCACGGTCACACGGGCCCGACAAGCTTTCCAGCCGTTCGTGCGTCATGTGTCCCTTCCTGTCTTGTGCTGGAAACGCTGTATGTTTAGGAAACATCTTGCCAGTTTGAGGATCCGGGCAGCCTTCCACCCACCGGGCCGCGCGTCCATCCGAAATCCAGGGCGCTCCTGTGCGCGGGCAGGGTGCCCGTCGGGAGGAAACGGCAATTAAGCGGCAAACTTGATCTTATGGCGTTTGAGTTAATGGTCAGCGTGAGGTGCCCCTGGGAGTCGGGGGCCCCTCTAACCTGTGGTCCTGCCTTTCTCCCCACCCAGTGTGCCAGGGACATAGTCCGGCTCCTCCTCTCCCACAAAGCGAACCCCAACATGCTGTGGAGCGGCCACTCCCCACTCTCCCTGTCCATCGCCAGCGGGAATGACCTGGTGAGCATCTTGCACACCCCCCGATGGCGCTCCTGCAGTCTCTGCCTCACCGTGACCCCCTCCCTAGTCAGTCTTCGGGATTTGCTGCTGTTGGCGGCAGCGGGGCCGCGTGGATCCCTCCCCGGGGGATGGAGCGCCTCAGAGAGAGGAGGGTGTGGAGAGGGAGGGGAGCAGTGAGGATGAGGGTTCAGCTGGGGGACGCTCCTCAGGGTGGGTGGGTCACCCCGCCTACCCCAGGCATGGACCCCTCGGGGCCCTGGGAAAGGCACCCTGGCCAACGCCCACCTCTGCCGCTGGCAAGGATGTGTGTTCACCGTCCCCCCGTCTGCCTGTCCGTGCACTCATCCACCCGCCCACCCGCATGCATCCACCCACTCACCTAGCCGTCCACTCAGCTACCTACCCACACTCACCCACCAGTGTGTCCTTCATCCCTCCCTCCGTCCCTCCCTCCGTCCATCCATCCGTCCATCTATCCACCATCCTTCCATCCATCCATCCTTCCATCTGTCCGTCCATCCGTCCTTCCATCCCTCCAATCATCTGTCCTTCTGTCCTCCATCCATCCATCCTTCCTTCCATCATGCCACCCATTCATTCCTCATCCATCATTCTTTGTTCCTCCTTTCCTTTTTCCTTCCATCCATCCGTCTGCAGTACGTGCCCCCATTCATCCTTACATTTAACTGTTGTTTTGTGAGACCCACTGTGTGCCAGGGAGGCACCGTTGGAGGCATTAGGTGCCTAATAAAACAAGGTCCCTGCTCTCAAGGATTCTACATTCTTTTTTTAAGGATTTATTTTTATTTATTTATTTATTTATTTATTTATTTATTTATTTATTTATTAATTATAGAGAGAGAGCGAGAGAGAGGGAGAGACACAGGAGGGAGAAGCAGGCTCCATGCAGGGAGCCCGATGTGGGACTTGATCTGGGGACTCCAGGATCGCGCCCCGGGCCAAAGGCAGGCTGAGCCCCCCAGGGATCCCCGGATCCTACATTTCTAGTGTGGGGGACACATCATAATCGTGTGTGTCACAAAATTTCCGGCGGTGATAGGTGCTGTGAAGAAGTGACAGCTGGATAAGGAGTAGAGAATGACGGGGACGGGCTGTTTTAGCGGGTGGCCAGGGGCTGCTCGGTGAGGTGACATATGGGCAGAGGCCTGAGGAAGATGAAGGCGTGGGGGCTCCTGTGGTCCTTCTGTCCCTCCTCCCTTCCTCTGTACCCAGAGTCATTCACTGAGCACGTTATAGGGGCACCTGCTCTGTGCCCGCCCGGGTGCGGGGGGGGGGCAAGGCAGGGTCGGGAGCTCCTCGGGGGGGAAGGAAGCTCTTGAGAGCCACACGCCAGTGCATCTCACGTCCAGCCAAGTGGCTATCACTCCTGGCTTCCTGGTGGCACCGGGGCCGGTGGCTGGGGACACAGCAGGGAACAAGCGAGATGTGCCCCACTCGGCGTCCGGGCAGGTGGTCGCAGCGACTCAGGTGCCTAAGCGGCAAGGGCAGGCTGGTCCCAGGGAGGAGGGCTGATGGGACCCACCAGGCCGTGTGCTGCCCCCCCCCCCCCGGCTGGAAAGCACGACCCGAGCCAGGAGCTCTCTGCAGCAAGCGGACAGGACAGCGCGCAGAGGAAGCGCCAGACCTGGGCTGCCGGGGTGCGCGGACCCCCTGCCCCAGCATCGTCCTCTGGGCCGGGCGGCAGTGGCACCTGTGGGTGGCAGGCACGAGCCCCGGGTGTGGCGGTCACTGTGCTCGGTGCCGCACAGCCTTGGTCCGGGGGCTCCCTCCGCCGGCGAGGAGGGGGGACCTGGCGGGCGCTGACGAGCCCGTGTGTGTCCAGATTGTGAAGGAGCTGCTGTCCCACGGAGCCGACCCCAACCTGCGGCTGACCAAAGGCTTGGGCAGCGCCTTGTGTGTCGCCTGTGACCTCACCTATGAGCACCAGAGGAGCACGGACAGCAAGCTGGCCCTGGTGAGGGGTGAGGCTGGAGGGGGCGGGCGTGCAGGGCAGCGGGCCTGGCGTGTCGGGTCTCGGGGGGCGGCGTGTTGGACCCCCGGCTCCACCCTCACCCTGGCAGGTAGGGCTTCAAGTGACCTTGCTCCGTGATGTTCAAACACCTGAGAAAGAACACCAAGTTCTGGCCCTTAGTATTACATAGGCCTAAAACTGCCAAGTTCAAACCCATTCAGGGGGCGGACGGGGGCCTTTGGTGTTTGTCAAGGGGGACACACGTTATCGCTTGGGTTCGGCTGCAAGACTAGAGAGTCCCTGTAGAGGGGCATTGGCCAGGGGTGCTGCGCGAGGGCTGCTGGCAAGGCATCGGGCTGCCGCCCCCCGGGGGGGTCTGGGGGGGCTGTCGTGGCCCGGGTGGGGATCTGGGGGGGCTGCTGTGCCCTGGGTGGGGATCTGGGGGGGCTGCTGTGCCCCATGTGGGGGTCTCAGGGTGCTGCTGTGCCCTGGGTGGGGATCCAGGGGGGCTGCTGTGCCCCGGAGGGTGGTCTGCAGGGGCTGTCATGGCCTGGGTGGGTATCTGGGGGTGCTGCTGTGCCCCGGGTGGGGGGCTGGGGGGCTGTGCCCTGGGGGGGATCCAGGGGGGCTGTCATGGCCCAGGTGGGGGTTTGGGGGCTGCTGTGCCCCGGGTGGGGATCTGGGGGGGCTGCTGTACCCCAGGTGGGGATCCGGGGGCTGCTGTGCCCCAGGCAGCTGTGCCGTGTCCTGGCCGTGCTGGTGGTGGAGCTGTTCCCCCGGGTGGGCTCAGGTGTGAGAGCAGGTGCGACCCGGAGGCCCTGGGCTCTGTGGGTCCTGGAGGCTGCGCTGTTGCCTCAGCCCCTCTGTCTTCCCGGCTGCTCAGGCCCTGCCAGGCACCCAGGCACGGCCCCCGTGGTCTGCCCCTCGTCGCTCCCACCCAGGGCCCGGGGTCTCCGTGACAGCTCAGCCCGGGAAGCCCGGCCCTTCCCACACCCGTGGGCGGCTCTCTGTGGGCCCTCGCAGCCCTGGCTCCCTGGGGGACACCGTATGGGTCCCCGAGAGCTGTAAGCACCAGAGCTGGGGGGGGGGGACAGGTGGCTTCCGGAGGCTGTCACGCTCGACGCTCGACAAGAGCTTAACTTCAAGTGAAGAGAACTACGACCCCTTTCCTTGAGCCCCTGCTTCTGGATCCCATTTTCAGGTCTGGATGGGGGCTGGGGGGGGTGCAGGTCGGCTCCGCCCCGACCGCGCCACCCGCCTCCGCACCTGTTGGCAGGTGGAAGGACCCGTTCTTTACCCTTGGGTCATCTTGTCTTTGACCTTGGGAGCCTCACGCCTGCCTTGCTTCCTGCTGCATCGAGGGTCCCTCACTCGCCTGCGGGTTCCGGCCCCGACCCCGAATCAGCCAGCCAGTTGGGTGTTCAATGATTTAGGGACCTGCGGCTCATTCATTTACTGATTTCGATTAACACAAACCCATGGAGGTCAGAGACCAGCGCAGGGACGCCGCAGCCACGCACCCGACGCGCCGGTCCTCGCGCCTGGGCTCACACACGTCCCCGCCTCCTGGCCGCCCCGGCCCCCCGCGCCAGCCCCAGCTGGTGCCCATCGTGCCCCGACCAGGAAAGCCCACATTTACCGGATGCTTCACGGGGCGCGCAACACCCGGTCCTCCCCAGACCCCGGCCACCGGCCATCGCCAGGCCCTCTGCCCGCTCCGGCTCGGCCCTCGGGCCCACTGTGACCTTCGACGGCTCCCGCCCTGACCACGACCGAGCCGGAGCCACATTTCCCCTCCCCGCCGCCCGGAGCTCGTCCTCCAAGCCGGCGTCTGGCTCCTGGGTCCGTGGTCGTGTCTCAGGTGTGAGCGGACGGTGAGGCCGAGGCCAGGGGCTGGCTTCCCCGCTGTGCCTCCCCAGGAGAACGCACCCCCTCCCGGCCCAGCGCCCAGCGGTCAGTGCCCCGCCCTCGTGGGACAGGGGCTGCTCGGCCGGAGCGGAGAGGCGTTGGCACCTCGGGGGTGGGCCGCAGACAGGGTCGGGGCATCGGGGGACGGGCTTGGGGCCTCCTGCCCGCTGGCTCTGTGCTCCGCTGGCCGTTTGGGGACCGCCGTGCGCCCCGGGTGACAGCCCCCTTGCCCTTGGCCCGGAGGGGCCCATGTGCGGCGCGGGCGGTGCAGCCTGGGTTTCCCCTGCTGGGCCGGGGCCGCACCGGGCCGGGGTCTGCGGTTGTGCGGAGGCTCCCAGCTAGCTGTGAGGCCGCGGAGCCCCCGGGGAGCCCGGCCCTCCCTCCTTGGGGCGGAGGGCGCCTCCCTTGGGTGCCATTTGCCGCGGAATCTGTAGTAAGCCACTCATGCCGCCTCCGAGCGCACTCGCGTGTCATCGAGCCTCCGGGACGTGGTGGGGCCGGGGGGCCTGCGAGTGGCCCAGCCTCGACCTGCCCCATGTCCACCTAACTTCTCCTCTGTGGGGTCAGCCTGTCTGTCTGCCTGTCCGACCGCAGACTCCCCGGGTGGCCTCCCTGGGCCGGATGGGCGACTGTGGCCCTTGGGGCAGCGCCTGTCGTCCCGCTGGGGCGCTGTCCTTGGGCTGCCGTCCTGCCTCAGGTGACGTGGGGCACAGCTTCCGAGTCCTGCGTCCTGGGGGGGGGGGCGTCCACGTGTGTGACATAGGCTCTGCTCTGCTCAGATCGACCAGCTGATTAACTACGGGGCCGACATCCTGAGGCCGGTGACGCTGATGCAGGGGGACAAGGTGGCTGTGGGCACGGCCGTCGACTACGGGTATTTCAAGTTCTATCAGGTACGGCTTTGTGCGTCCCGTGGGGGGCGGGCTTGAGGGCCGGGGCCTCGGGGTCTCTCGGTGAGGCTCGGCCACAGGCCCCCCCCCGCCCCTGACCGAAGCCCCCCGCCCCCGGGCCTCCTGGGAGGGAAGGCCAGGCCACCCTCCGTGCGTCCTGCCCGCGTCCTGACAGCGGCTCCGTGGGGTCCGCCGCCCAGGGTCCCCCCGCGGTGGTGGCCGGGGCCTCGCGGTCCCTGGCGGTGACCGGGGTTGTGCTGCAGGACCGGAAGATCGCCCACTGCCCCTTCCACATGCTGACGCCGGCCGAGCGGGAGGTGTTCGTGGCGCGGAAGAGGCTCCTGGAATACATGGGCTTCCAGCTGCGCCGCGCTGTCTTCGCCAAGGAGAGCCAGTGGGACCCGAAGGTGCTGAACCAGAGCAAGAGAGGTGGGTGGCAGCGGGCTCGGGGCCCGTCGTGCGATCCCTGGCTCCTGGGCTGTTTGCTGAGGCCGTGGGGGACGCACCAGGGTGGGACCAGAGAGGCCAGCTGCGGCCCCCTCCCCAGAGGTCAGCAAGAGTCACGGAGGGAGTGGGGACACGAGCTGGGAACAGAGGCCCAGGGCTCCCTTGCCAGTGGGCACGTTTGCCCGGTGCCAGGGGACACCCGCTCTGACTTGGCACCAACTACCTACTGCCTGTCCTGCTGCCACAGGTGGAGGGCATGACACCTAGGGGACAGGGTCCCAGCTGAGCTGCTCAGGCTGCCGTGGGGCCTCGTGTGGGAAGGAGCAGGGGTGCACGACAGCCTGGAAGCCCCAGGACTTGTGGGGGGCAGGCCCCGCTGCTCCGGAAGGCGGGCAGCTGAGTGTGACTTCAGGACACTCTGGGCCGGGTGGGCTGGTCGGCTCTGGGACCGGAGGAGCAGGGACCTGCCCCGCCCTTTCCTCAGGGAGCCGCGTCCTGGGGGCTGGGATGGCGACCGCACCCCTGCCTGGTGCTGCTGGCTTGGGGGGCAGCCCTGGTCCTGAGGGCCCCACGCGGTCTGGCTGGAGGGAAGGGCTGCAGGGTCATTTGACTTGGGAGACAGGCTGACGGATGCGGAGAAGGATCTGGAAAGTACCCAAGTGCACACAGGGAGTGTGCTGCTTCCATGTGGCAGTGACGTGGCTCCTGCTCCCACAGAGCACTGCCCTGGCCGCCAGGCCTCTGTGCCCCAACACACCAGGACCTCTGCACCTGGCTGCCCCACCCCTGCACCTGGCTGCCCGACCCCTGCACTCTGGCTGCCTGACCCCCACCTCTGCACCCTGGCTGCCCCACCTCTGCACCCTGGCTGCCCCTACCCCCCCCACCCCAGCACCCTGGCTGCTGGCAGCCAGACCTTCGAATGAAAGAATGGTTTAACAACAACAAAGTCAACATAACACCACATTATTAGACTGAAGAAGAAAGATCACATAATCATTTCAACTGATGTAGAAAAAGCATTTGACAAAACCCAACACCTTTCATGATAAAAGACATACAGCAAACAAGGAATGGAGGGGCCCTTGCCTACCCGATTAGGGGCACCTACGAAGGGGTCCAGCTGACTCAGACTCCATGGTGGAGGACAGGCTGCTTTCTCCCTAAGTCAGGGAGACGACAGGAATGGGTTCTCTCTCCATTTGTTTGGCGTTGTGCTGGCGTTGCGTTGCTGGCCAGCGTAACTAGGCAAGAAAAAGAAAGTCATTCAGATTGGAAAGGAAAGACTTAAGCCATCCCTCTTTGCAGAAATTATCTTGCAGATTGAAAATCTGGGGAATCCACTTTTTAAACTGAGAAAAATATTAAACTAAATATATAAATATTAAAATATCACTATAAATATAAAACAATTACGCTCTTAAAACTAACGAGTGCATTTAGTAAGGTTGCAGAATATAAGATCAATATGCAAAGATCAACAGCATGCCTATAGCGTTGCAGTGAGCAAACCAAAAATGAGATTCTAAAAAGTTTCATTTACAGTAGCGTCAACAGAAATAACATACCGGTGAATACGTTGAACAAAAGCAGTTCAAACTTACTCTCTAAAAACTACGACACGGTGCTGAAGTTAAAGGAGGCCTCAGTACATGGGAGGATATTTCCTTATCAGAATCCCACTGCCGCCTTTGTACAAATTGGGAAGCTGATTTTAAAATCCATATGGAGGGACTCCTGGGTGGCTCAGTGGTTGAGCATCTGCCTTTGGCTCAGGGCGTGTTCCCGGGGTCCCGGGATCCAGTCCCGCGTCGGGCCCCCTGCATGGAGCCTGCTTCTCCCTCTGCCTGTGTCTCTGCGTCTCTCTGTGTGTCTCTCATGAATAAATAAGTAAAATCTTAAAAAAAAATTAAAATCCATATGGAATCACAAAGGTCCCAGAGTGGCTAGCTATAGCAAGCTTGAAAGAAAAAAGCAAAGTGGAAGGACTTGTACTTCCTAAATTCAGACTCACTGCCAAGACAACAATAAAAACAGTGTGGCACTGGCGTGAAGACAGACACACGGGCCAGTGGAATAGAATACAGGTCCCAGAAACAAATACGTGTGGATGTCAGCTGATGTTCAACAAGGATGCCAACGCTTTTTAACGAGGGTAAGAACAGGACTTTCAACAAATGGTACTGGGACAAGTGGTTATCCAGACGGAATAGAATAAGGTCTGACCCTACCTCACACCACATACAACATTTAATTCAATTTGGACTGAAGACCTAAATGCAAGAGCTTAAGATATAAATCTCTTCAAAGAAAATGTAGGGACAAATCCTCATAGTCTCATAGTTGGCAGTAAACTCCTAGATATGACACCAAAAGCATAAGCAATGAAAGAAAAAAATGGATAGATTGGCTTTCACCAAAATTAAACATTTACATTCTCCAAAGGACACAATCAAGAAGATGGAAAGACAGGGCAGCCGCCTGCAGCCCAGGGCGTGATCCTGGAGACCCGGGATCGAGTCCCATGTCGGGCTCCCTGCATGGAGCCTGCTTCTCCCTCTGCCTGTGTCTCTGCCTCTCTCTCGCTCTGTGTCTCTCATGAGTAAATAAAATAAAAATCTTAAAAAAAAAAGATGGAAAGACAACCCACGGTAGGGGAGATACATCGAAACTCATGTATCTCCTAAGGGATTCGTAAGTAAGATAGATTAAAAAATCATACAACTCCCTAATAAAGAGGAATAACTGAATTTAAAAATGGGCAGAGAGCATGAATAGAAATTTCTCTGAAGAAAGACCTACAAGCGGCGAACAAGTGCATGTGAAGATGCTCCGAGTCGTTAGCTCCCAGTCATGTACAAAGCGAACTGCACCGAGATACCGCTTCACGCCCCCCAGCGCAGCTGTCGTCAGGAAGTCGATAACAAGTGTTACGGCGACGATGTGGGCAACGCAGAAGCCTCCGACGCTGCTGCCGGGAAGGGGAAACGTGCAGCGTCCTCGGAAGGTGGCCTGGCAGTTCCTTAAATGCTCCTCACAGACTTACACTATGGCCCAGCAATTCCGCTCCCACGTTTAGACCCGAGGGACGTGAGAGCACACGTCCACACAAACCCCGCGCTTGGATGTCTATAGCAGCAGCATTTACAAGAGCCACAGAATGGAAACAACCCAAAGGTCCATGAGCTGACGAATGGAAAAGCAAATGGTGGCACAGCCACGGGATGGTCGTTACTGATCCACCAAAGGGAGTGGAATACCCGTGCGTGCCACAATGTGGGTGACCCTCAAAAACATTTTAAGCAAAAGTATCTAGGCACCAAGGGCCACACACACACTGACTCCGCTCATAGGAAACGTCCAGAATCGGCAAACACACGGAGATAGAAAGTGGGTCGTGGTTGCCCAGGACTGGAGCAACGGCGGCTACCGGCCTGGGTTCCGATTTGGACCGGCGAGCGTGTCGTGCACTCGACACGGTGCGACTCGGCTGGACCCTGAGCCGTACAGGTCCACAGAGGTGTCCGGGTCCCGCGCTCCCGCTAACGGTGCTCCTCTGCCCCACCCGGGGCGCGAGGCCGTGGCACCGCCACCTGCGCCTCCAGTTCTGCCTCGCCGGAGCCTCGCCCAGAAGTTTACCCTGGTGCCGCGTGGCCCTCATGACCGCGGCTTTGACTCCACACACCGTGTCACAGAGCTGGCCTCCCGGGCCCACGCTCTAGCCGCTGGCGCCGCTGCGGTGCAGCCCTGGGTGCTGGTGGGTGCGGGTGGGATGGAGAGGAACGAGGGGCCCCCGGCTTCTCTGCTCTTGTGGCCAGCAGGGCTTTGTGGGGTTCCTGCCGACTTAGAGGTTAGGTGGCCTTCCTGGGGGAGGGTGGGCACTGACGTGCTATTTAAGGAGGGGAAGGGGGACAGTAATTGGAGGGGGCCTCATGCCCTTGGTCCCCAGCCCATGTGTACCCTGCTGCCAGCCCCCAAGAGCAGAGCCAGGAGGCTTCACTCCAGAGAGGACTGTGGGCCGGTCAAGGCCAAAGCCTGGTGGCCCTTTATCGGTGTGGTGACGGGTGCACTGAGCCACCCCAGACAGCAAAGATGCAGGGGGGCCAGGAGGTGCAGCTGCGCGGCCGAGGGTGCGGGGCAGAGGGAAGCCTCGGGGCCAAGCCCCGTCCCCAGAGGCTGTGGACTCCCCCGTGGCCCTGGCCCTGCTCAGACTTGCCAAGGGGCTGTGAAAGTCTTGGGGGCCCCCCGCGTCCCCGCAGTGCTGGGAACAGGCTCACTGCGGGACAGTGGTTGAGGTGGGCAGCTCAGGGCCCCTGGGTGCCCGTGGGCGTCGCGGCATGGCCAGGGGACCCACGGAGGCTGTCGTGCTTCTCTGTTGGCGCAGCGGAGCTGACCCCCTACCAAAGGGTGAAGCGGAAAAGCACCAGCGTGTCCAAAGCCCTGCACTTGGAGGAGCAGGAGCTGTAAGTGGCCGACGGTGGCCGTGCCTGGGCCACCATGGGGGGCAGAGGGGCACAGCTGCACTCGTGGAGTGGCCCAGCGGGCTTGAGCCCAGGCTTGCTGTCCCAGGGGGTGTCCTGCCCTGGGCCCCTGCACCCCTACCGCCCCTCCAGCACCGGCCCCTCCCTGGGACCGTGGCTCTGCACCCACCTTGCTGTTCCAGACCTTGTAATCCCCGAGGGCATCCTGGGAGGTGCCCGTGCCGTAAACACTGGAGGGTGGTGAGGGGGTGATGAGCGGGCACAGGCCAGGGGTATCTGCCCTGGGGCCCACCCTCCCCCGAGACAGGGTGCAGCATGCCAGGCTCACCCACAGCGCTGCGGTGTGCCTGCTGGGCCTGCCCCCCCGATGCTGTGGCGCAGGAGGGTCCCGGATGCCCTGCGTGGTCACCCAGCCCCGGCGGCTTCCGGGCTCAGTGTTTCCTGTTCACAGCCCTGTGCCGGGCCCCCTGGATGGGGACTTCATGGGGCTGCCCCTCAGCACCCCTCGGGGAATGGCGGGGCGCAGGTGGGGGGTGCCCCCCGACTGCCCTGCTGCTCCCTGGCAGGGTCCCGTTCTTCAAGTTCTGCTACCAGTGCGGCCGCTCCATCGGGGTGCGCCTGGCGCCCTGCACCCGCTGCTACGGGATCCTGACCTGCAGCAAATACTGCAAGACCAAAGCCTGGGGCGACTTCCACAAGAGGGACTGCGGCACCCTGTCGGCCATCGGTGAGTCTGGGGGTCAGGCGGGCTGCTGGGACGCAGGTCCCCGCCTTGGGGTGGCCGAGCGAGGTCTCCCTTGTTCCCCAAAGTCTCGCGGGCTCCGGCGACTCTGCAGACCTCCCAGGTGGGCCTGGGGTGCAGACAGGGAGGGCGCAGAGCCCACTGCTCCTCCCCTGGGCGTCGTGTGCCCGTGGCTTCCTGGAGGTGGGCACGGCCTGGGCCCCACAGAACCGGGACACCCGACCTGGGGGCTCCCCCGGATGCGTGGGGGCCCTGGTGGGCGCTGCTTGCCCCGACCACAGGGTACTTGGCCTGGGCGCTGCATCTGGAAGCTTCCGCCTAGCCCGCCCTCCCACCTCCCCTCTTTGGGATGACCTGGGAGGAGCTGTGGGCATGTGGGTGGTGACCCGGTCCCAGGCTTCCCCACTGCGAGGGGAGCTAAGGGTGAGCAAAGCTGTCCCCTGGGACTGGGCCGGGGCGGGGGGAGGCGCAGGGTTGCTTTGGGCTCTCCCAGAGCCTGTCCTTGGTGTGGACGGACAGACAGCGGGGCTGACCGGGCCTGGCGCCCGTGCCCCCGAAGCTGTTCCCCTCCGGGCTCTGACTCTCCGTCCTCTCCACTCCCCTTCTGTAAAATGGGGCTTTAATAACAGGCTGTGCCTGCGGGGTGCACGTGGATCTGCACCAGGCTCCCTGGGCTTGGGGGCCCCAGGCTGGGAGTCCCCCTCTTTGGAGAAACTGAGTCATTGCCATGTGCAAGCATGAAGCCAAGCAGGGCAGGGGTGGGGCCCTCGTCGCCGCGCGTGCAGTGGGGAGCCCGGGGCTCGGAGATCTGGGGGAGGGGTGCCAGGTGACGGCCCCGAACAGCCGCAAGCTGCGGGGCCCACAGGGAGTGCATGCCCGCCGGGGGCCGCGCCCCAGCCCCCCGGGGGCACAGCGGAGGCCCCTCACCTCCGTCCTCCCTGCCAGTTCCTTGTCCAGGGCCCCACCTGGAGGACTTGCCGTGGAGGGTGGAAGAGACTCAGTAAGGAGCCGCACCCGGCGCCCGCGGCGTGGGGAGGGCCCGGCGGCAGCCTGCGCCACGCTGCCTCCCCACCGCGGGCACCCACAGCTCGGGGCGCCTCCACGCCGCTGGCCCGGCGTCGTCTGCCTACTGCCCGGAGTGTGCCCCGCGGGGCTGTGTGGCACCGTCTCCCTCGGGACCTCACAATAAAGCGCCCTCGGGTTGAACCCTCTCCGCCTTGCTCCAGCTCTGCCCCGCGAGCCCGGGCTTCCCCGGCCGCTGGCACCTGGCGTCTGTGGGCCGCGGGAGGGCGGGTGGATGCGGGTCAGCGCGCTCGGGAGCTCCTGCCGGGAGGCCACTTGTGCGTCCCCTCCACGTGCACTTCCTGAGTGTCAGTGCGGGTCCGGCAGGCTCTGGGGCGGGCGGTGGGTGTGAGGGTCACCCGCGGTTGAGACCTGGGGGTCTGGGCGGGACTGAGTCAGGAGCACTGCACCGGGGTGATGGTGGGCGGAAGGGGGTGGCGGGGACTGAGGCCTGGGGTGTGCGCGGGCCAGTCCTGGCCCCCAGGCTGCCCTCCCCTCTCCTGGGGTCCCTCCCGGGAGGCGGCGGCTCCCACCACACCTGCCGGGGAAGGAAGTGCTGCCAATGAGCACCCCTCAATTTTGAACCGATCCGTGTTGACGATGAGAATCTGGAGAGGACGCAGGTACACGCGCCAACGGTTGGACGGCGATGATGCCGGACCCGGAAATGGCCACTGGCAGCACCTTGGCGTGTCCTTCCGACGGCGTGTGCCCGTGCTCACACTGCATGTACGTCACACGCGCCGCTCCTCGCACTTCCCACGCCGCCCGCCACGCCCGTCTGGACGTGGGAGCGTGATCCGTACGTTCTAAACTCAACCTCGAATCTCCACGCCGTTACAGGTTTTCCCGCAACGTAAGGCCCCCCCAGGGAAAGTCGTATTGATTCCCATTACGCGTGCAACACAATAAGGAAAAGGCAAACGGCCACATTCCTCCCGGTCTTGCCGCTCCGGACCGGTACGCTGATCACGCTGGGTTCTAGGCTGTGCACGGGCGCGCACGCAGAGTGCACACGCGTGTTGCACGCGTCCCACTGGTTTTTCACTAAGTGGCTCACTTTGTCACCCTCCCCGGCCTGCCCGAGGCGCTGGGTGCGTCCCACCACCGTCCTCAAGGCCCGCAGGCACCTGACCCCCCCTTCCACCTGGTTTTCCTTCTAGAAGAATTCACAGAGGTCACATTTTCAGATTTCAGGAGCCTTCGCATGGTCACCCTGGCCTTTGCCTGCTTGCGGCAGGGCTGCGAGCGTGTCTGCCCCGGGACACCTGACCGGGGTCCTGAGCACTGCCCCAACCTCCCGCCTCCCGGGGATTCACGCGGGACATGAGCGTCCCCCCACACGCCCAGGCGGGGCTCCTCCTCGGCTCCGGCTCCCCTTACCGTAGAGGCCCGCCGACCCCCGCCGACCCCCGCCGACCCCCTCTGGCCTCCGAGCGAGCGCTCCCTCCCGACCCCACGCCCTCCCTGCTGCCTCTTGCGGGGGTGGGGGGACCCTCTCTCGGTTTGAACTTTGCTCCGTGGAGTTTCTCAGTCTGTTGTCAGGTCCACGTGTCCTGTCCTTCAGGGCCCGGTTCGCTGGCCGATTAGTGCCCAGACCCAGATCATACAAGGCTCGCCCACACTCAGGAACACTCCTCACGCACCAGCATTTTACCGATTTTATGATCGGCCGGAATTCCTGCGTAAGAGCGAGAGCCAGCCCGCGGGGACGGTCCCCCACGGCTCGCAGCGACGGAGTCCTCCGTCTGCCGGGCACAGGGGCAGGTGTCGGCCGGCGCCCCCTCCCCGGACACCCCTGCCCACGCTGCGCGTTCCCCGCCGGCGTTCCCCGCGAGCTCAGATGAACCGTGGACTTGGCCCGCCCGGTTCAGGCATGTGGTGGTGCAACCGTCCTGCTCGTCTGCGTGACCGGGAGGCGTCTGGCATCCTTGGTGGCTTCAGGCTTCCGGGCGAGGCTGTGCCGTCGGGGTCCAGGTGAACAGGTTCCCGAGCAGAGAGCCCCCCGAGGCGGCCCTCGGGGTCCCTCCTCACCCGCAGCCCTGCCTTCAGCGTCTGGCCCAACCAGGCACGTCCAGAACTCCTGCCACCGCCACTGCCTCCTCTCCGTCCCTGCGGCCACGGGCACCTGCAGCGGAGGCCACCCCTGTTGCTCCTGCACCCACTCGCGTCCCACCAAGTCCTTTGCGGGGTCGTCTCCCTGCACCCATTGTCAGGGTCCCCTTCCGATGGCTCTAGACCCCCGTCGCCCCCACCGGGCTGTGCCCGCCTCCCACATGCCTGTGCCCCCCTCCTGCTCCCAGAAGGCTGCTGCGGAATCCTCTCCCGCTTCTGGGTCGTGTGCATTGAGCACTCCCGGCCCAGCGCTGACCGCTGGGCTCTGGGCGCCTGTGCCCCGTCCACAAGATACCCGGCCCCTTCCCTGCTGGCTGTCCCCAGAGAGCCACCCTGTGGGGAGATGCCCCCATTGCCAGGCTCCAGCGGTGCTGTTCCCGCCGCACCTCGGCCGCTGGGAGGACCCGGCTAGTGCAGGGCCCTCGTCTGGTCCCACCAGGACCCGTGCGACCCGCCTCCCTGCGCCCCTGGGGGGACAGGCCCCGCCTCCCTGTGCCCTGGGGTGGCTCCCTGATTCCCACAGGGCCTGGTACTAGGGCTCCCGGGCTGGTGGCCGGCGCCACGGATGCCACGGGGTGCAGTGAGCCGGAGGCCAGCCCCCCAGGTCCTGAGAGCTGCAGGCAGCTGGACGGGTCTTCAGACTGTGGGGGCAGCGCGGCCTCAGCTGTCCCTGCACTTGGTCCCCTCCACAGACCAGGTGGTGGTTCCACTTGGCGAGTGGGCCGAGGGGCTCCTGCCCGGCACCTGCAGAGCACAGCCCCCTCCTCAGGAGGTTCGGTGATGCCGGGCCCCTCCACCTGCTCCTGCTCTCGGGGTGTGGGGTTCCCGGCTGCTCTGGGGGACCTGCCTCCCTTCTCCTTGGCTCCCTGCGAACCTGGGAGCCCTGGTCGCTTAGCCCCTGCTCCACAGTGGGGGGCCCAGCAGGACGAGGAGGCCGTGCCCAGCCCGGGCCCCACACCGAGCCGCCACCCGTGTCCCCGCTGGTCTGCGCCCCAGGAGCCTGCAGGCCGCTGCTGTGTGGGTTCCCCTGTCATCAGGTGTGGGAGCAAGGTGGTGGGGGTGTGCGGCCCGGGGCCGGAGCGCAGGCCCCTGGGGGAGGGGAAGGGCCTGGCACAGAGGTGGGCAGGGGTGCGGGACGGAGGGACGCTCGGGGGAGAGCCCGCTGCTGAGAATGTGCTCGCGGCCCAAGAAGGACGGACGGAGCCCTGGGCTGCACGCGTCGGTGGGGAGGCTGCGCTGGCCGTGCCCTCCCGGCCGGTGGGTCTGTGCGTACGTGTGCGTACGTGCGTGTGCAGAGCGGTAGTTGGTGCGGAGCGGAGGGCTGGGTTGGGCAGGGGGCTTACCAGGCAGCCCGGGGAGGGCGGAGACCAGCCCACCCACCTCCCTCCCTGCCGCTGCCCTGGCCGCTGGCTCGTGAGTGTGCCCAGACCCTGCTCAGCATCTCCTGGGCCTCTGGGCTCCGCTCGGCCACCTGCCTGGACGCGGGGTCCTCCTCTCTCGGGCTGGGAAGGGGAGGCCGCCTACCTCCCGAGCCAGAGAGCGGGGTGCCGCCGGGTGAGCGGGCTCCGACGTGCCACGGCCCTCGAGGGAGCTGCACCCTGGCAGAGTCCGGGTCCGATGAGGGGCAGCGGCCAGGTGAGGGGGCCCGGGGACGAAGGAGCAGGCGGCGGGTGAGGGAGGGAGGCTGAGGCCGAGGAGCCAGGTGGCAGGACACGTGAGGGGCGCTCGGGAGGAGGCCAGGTCCAGGGGTGGGGCGAGGGGAGCCCTGCAGAGGGCTGTCGGGCTTCCCTTACGTCGGGGAGCCACCCGGGCCGGCACTGCTGATGCCTTTGAGGGGAAGCCCTGTCCTCAGGGGCAGTGGGGCCGGGTCTCGGGGGACCAGGCTGGCTGCTGCGACCCCTCCCGGCCCCGCACCTGGGCTCTCGGAGAGTGGGCAGCGGCCCGCGGGCTGGCCAGGGGAGCTCAGGGGAGCTCAAGGGAGCCGGGGGGGCAGATGCCCGGGAGTGGGGACAGGGCAGCTTCAGGGGCCTGAGGGGACCAGCCAGGTGAGCCGGGGCAGAGAGGGGTTGTCAGTCTGGAACGCTGGTGACCACACAGAGGGCCTGGAACCCACGGTTGTCAGGGTCCCCCCGGAATCCAGCCTTCCGCGGCCTCTGGGGAGACGGGCTGTGGGGTGGCCAGGCGGTCCCAGGAAGGCCGCAGAAGGCACAGGCCCGGGGCTGCGGGTCCCCCATCCTGCCCCCGTCTCCTTCCTCTGGCCGCCGCCCCACACCGACCACAGGCCAGGGCGTCCAGCTCAGCTTCGTTTGTGGTGTGCGCTCTTTTATTTTAAAGGACCGACCCCCCCGCCCCACCACCCCGTTCCCTTTAGCAGCTTCAAGGTCCTCAACCCTGAACATTTAAAAAAGTGAACACAAGACAAGGAGCCCCTGAGGCAGCAGCACTCGGGGCCACGTGTCCTGCGATGCCTGGGATGAGACGCGGCCGGCCTGCGCGCTTACCCCGCCCCCGGTCTCCCTTTCCGTTCCTGTGTCCCTAAGGGACGCGAGACTGTCCCACCGTGGCACCGCCCGCCGCCCCGTGCTTGGGAAAGCCTCTCTCCGCCTTCCCTGACGGCTGAGGAGCACGTTTCCATAAGTAACCAATAACCATCCTGTTTATTAGTTAAAGGCCTATTTACGTATTTGAGAGAGGGCGAGGGCGAGGGCGAGGGCGAGGGCGAGGGCGAGGGCGAGGGCGGCGCACCCAGGGGCTGGGGCAGAGGGCGAATCCCGCTGAGCGGAGCCCACTCGGGGCTCGAGCCCACGCCCCTGAGCCCAGGGCCTGAGCAGAAAGCAAGAGCGGACGTTCCCGACCGCGCCACGAGGCGCCCGCTCCTGGCGTTGTTCGCGGGGCACTTGGCGCCGCGTGTGTGGGCCCGGCCGCCGCGGGGTGCGATCGCTGCCGTCCTCACCGCGGGAGCCTCCGCTGTGCCCGCCGCCCTGCGTCTGGCCCTTGTCGGGAGGACGCGTATCGGGGCCGGGCGGCCGTGGCT